TTCTGCAATCTCAGTTCTGCTTTTGAAAAATTTACTCTCTAGCGCTCAGGGCTGCAGGAGGAGTCTAAAAAATGTGATAGGAGTGTAAACCAATGCCACGCTGTCTCCCTGAGCTTGTGAGGGCTGTGGAATATTGGCTCAGAGACCTTGGAACTGCTCCCTACCCTTCCGTCAGAGTCCTGTGGATTTTGTGATCCTTTGGGCATGGAGTATGCTACTTCAGCATTGTTCTCCTGCAATTTGCAATTCTGATACAGGTGGGAATTGAAGGGGTTTTTTGTCTTGTTGAGGGGTTTGCTTTCGAGAGCTTCTCTGAGAGAAGATTTTCAGTGGGTTATACGCTTCTTGAAATACTGCATAGAAACTTAGTCAGCATGAAGTCAGAGACTTGGGAATTCATCTTGCACCTAAGAAATGGAAGTTTTGTGGCCATTTCTCTCCAGGGAAGAATGCAATCATCAGCACCTTGCATGTCGAGTTGAGACAGCGTTACGGGGAGCAAGGTTGCCTGGGAGCCTGCCAGGAGGCGTAGCAAAAACTCATGAAACCAGTGTGTGTTTTGAGTGGAGAGGCTTGTGTCAGTATGAACAAGAGGTATATGAAGGGGATGAGGTAGCAGAGATTTTGTGGGAGGCAGAAATCGGTGCTGCTGCAACACTTAAGGATTTTTAGTGAGGCAGTAGTTATCATTTCTGGGCATGGGAAAAAGGGTACAATCCCCACTTTATAACCCAGAGGCTGAATGCACTGCTTTGCTAAGGGTTTCCTAGGAGTGCTTTACTGTGTGCTTTCTGGTTTGTCAGATGATGAGAGCAGTGAAAGCATTTCGTTTTGAAAGGTCATCTCCAAAGGATGAAATTCTCAGCGAACCTCATATTTGTAAGAAATCAAAATAATTACCTTTTAGAATAGAACAGAATATTTCAGTTGGAAGAGACCTTCAATGATCATCTAGTCCAGCTGCCTGACCACCTCAGGGCTGACCAAAAGCTAAAGCATGTTATTAAGGGCATTGTCCAAATGCCTCTTAAACAGTAACAGGCTTGGAGCATCGACCACCTCTCTAGGAAGCCTGTGCCAGTGTTTGAGCACCCTCTCGGTAAAGAAATGCTTCCTAATGTCTAGTCATTTGACCTTCCAGTCTTATCAATATCCTTCCATGTAAAAGGCAAAACAAAATGACAGAAACCTCCCCCCCCCCCCCCCCCCAAAAAAAAAAAAAAACAACACCAGAATTTGACTGAATATGTAGGTATGGCATAATCATTTCCCATAGACAGAGGGAGCTTTTTGGATGGGGGTCATCCTGTGCAGAACAAGAGTAGCAGGAACAAGGACTTGGACTTGTTATTATGACAGGAAAACCTGGCCTCAGGACAGAGTTTAACTTGGACTATCATGCTGTTGACACTTTTCTGAAATGCAAACCTGAGAAGTTTCTGAACTGAATATGTCTTCTTGGCCCTCCATTCTTCACAGGTTCTCTCTAAGTTAAGGTTGGAGTGAATCAGTACAAAACACTTAAAATCTGAAGTCTTATGTGATAGTTAATGTTCTTTTGTCATGATGCAGTGGTACATGGAAATTCTCAAAATTAGAATGAATGGAAGAGCAGATGGGCTCTGGTCAGGAAACCCATAAATTGTAAGTCTCTTGGTGTGTATTGCCTTGTGGTTTGCTTTAGTTTTCATTTAGGCAAGCTTTAGAAAGTTAGTATCAACCATTAAACCTTTTAGGCTATCTTCCCCCCTCTTTTTTTTTTTTTTTTTTTTTTCTCTTTTTCTGGTTCAGAAGTGAATAAAAGAGCTTTGTGCAGTTCTTGAAACTGAGCCTGAAACAGCTCTGAACAAAATATAGTGTTCCTTTCAAAATCTTGGAAATAATTACATCATAGGCAAATTGGGCCAGAAACCGTTAATAGTGTTCTTTGTGGAATGAAATCCCATGGGAGGACCTATTTCAGCAAACTGGCATTGTTTACAAATAGATACAGTGACAGATACAGTTGTCCCATTCTGAAGGACAGCTGAAACTTTGTGCCCTATAATGGACTTCACAGAATAACTGTCTTGCTTTTGATAACAAGCTGAAAACGTGCCTTGGTGTCTCTGTGGTCAGCCTCATGCCGACGCTCTCAGGGAGCAAAGGCTGTTGTTGGAACTGGAAAGGTATTTGTAGGTGTGTTAAAAAGAAGATAAAAGCCTCTGTTACCATAAGCTCCTAGTCTGTGAGAATTGCCGGAGGGACGGGGAGCCGTGGCCAGGTATTTCTGCTGGGCTTCATATGCTGGGAGCTCCCTCGTGCTTCACTGCTCAGAAATACCTGGGCATCGTGCATGTTCCCTTTGCCAGGATATCATGCACAGCACATGAAGTACTCCCTATTACCTTACAGTAGTTTTCGTCACTGGCTTTGGTTTTGTTTTGTTGGCTTTCCCTCGTTACTGGAAAACCTTCTGTGTTTCAGGATAGAAATCACAAAAATTAGTAATGTTAGCTGTTCAATCTAAATCTAAAAAAGCGTTTAGTTCTCTAAGTAAATAAGCTACTCTGTACTTGAAAGTTAGATCAGCACAAGCCCTAGCCTTGGCACAATTATAGCTATTCCTTGGTGATACAAAGCACGTTACTGCCTATATATGTGCTTCCCTAGGAGGGTGGGCCGTGTTCCTTCATCACCAGAGCAGATCTCCCAGTAGATCTGTGCCTGGGCAGCTGGGCTGGGTGGGCAGAGCCATCTGTGGGGAGTGGGCACATGCTGGGGACCGTGGTTTTCTGTGCAGGATCACATCTGTGCTCTCCCAGGTGGTGTGTTCCACAGGACAAAAACATCTTTCAGTCTGACAGCTGCCTCCAGTACGAGACTTCATTAGTTATGAGTGCGTGATCTTTTCCACGCTTCCAACCCTGAAGGCAAAGCTGTAGGGACCGACAGCTGGTCGGTGGCTGCCTGTGGTTCAGTATTGCCTGTGCAGCATACAGGTACTCCATGGTGTCGGGAAGATCTAGTAGTTCACACAGGACTTGAGCCTATGAGGAGACATCCTCTTTGGCTGGTGAACACTGTATTGATGTACCAGTGGAGCAATTGTTTGAGTTTTCCCTAATTTGCTGCCAGCAAAAAATGTCAGAATAGCTCAGACCACTAATTTAACACAAACCTGTTGATGAAGTCAGCTGGACAGGGTGCTCATACAAACTGCTCCCCTGATGGAGGTGAGCAACTGGGGTCAGTAATGTCTTTAAGTGCATGTATGTGAATCAAGATCTCCAGGATCCCTGCTTCATGCTGTATGTACTAGGGAGAGGGCTGGGACCAGCTCTTAGTGGGGTTTTCAACAATGTGACCCCAGGATGGGTCCCTGGCATCCCTTGGGGATCCAGATGTTCAGGAACCCCATGTTGTGGGCCCTGGGATTGGTGCAAAACAGGGATGTGATGGTATATTTCATTTATTGTTCTCATCACGGGGCAGATGAATCTCAGATCTGGCATTTTGGGATATCATTTAGATGAAATTAAAAATGTAACTCAAGTAATGAAAAAAAAAGTGATCATTTTATGTGTGGTAATTTGAAAATGGTAACAAAGGCTAAAATGCCCATGTTGTGAAAAACAGTCTAGAATTAACATCTCTAAATGTTTCAATCAGTCATTTAATTTTTACATGGAAGGTATTGTCCGTTAAGGCAATGTGGATTTGTTTATTCCTTATTAATATATCAGCTGGAAATCCTGGCAAAATTCTAGCTATGTCAAAATAAATGCAGCTGTTGAAAACATTAACCTTGGTTCTTAAAAAAAATCCAACCAAACCACCCCAATAACCCTCAGCCATGGCAGCTTTATCTGACAAAAGCAAGAGCAGCAGTGATGTTAGCAGCTGAGCTTCAGGACCTCTGTGTAAATGACAGTCACCATGTTCAGCTGATAGTTCTGAAAAAAAACTACGAAAAACCTAAGTTGCTTCATTTTAAATTTAAGAGAATAGCTGATGACTGCAATAATTGGTGTTATTGGTGAATCAGCACAAGGAGAGTTCCGTAACACATGCACAGTGGTCTGTACATGCCTTCTGTAAAAGGAGCCACATTGATTTTAGAGGGGTTGGAAGGCAAGGTGTCTAGAATTGTCATTTTTAAAAACATGCAGTATAGCCCACATCACATCTGATCTGTCTGAAATCATACTCTATTTTCAGGTCTTAAAACAGTTCATTTTACCAAACCTTCCTTGTTTGTTAAACCAGCTGCTTAATCCAGACTTGAATTTTAATATTTAAGACACACTACAAAGATCTGGAATTTGCGAAGTTTTACATGCCCTGTGTTCTCCCAAATTTAGAAGGTTTTATAACAATTTCTGGGTATTGAAGACTTGAAGAAAGACTTGAATTGCTTTCAGGATATTATAATTTTCCTGCCTAGGTTTTGATTGATTTTAAAGCAAAGGTATTGCTCATTTTTATGTGCAAAAAAGTTTTTAATTGGTACTTATGAATGAATTTTCTTTGGGAGGGGCATTCCTTTTGAAGTCCCGTGCTCCCAGGACTAAATCCTCTCCAAACACAGAGCAAGGAGAGAACAGAGATCTTAATGCTTCCTATCTATATCCCCCCAACATGCACCTTGTTTCTCACATCGTACAAATGGTTCACTACGATACTGAGTAGTTTCAGTAAATCATTTAAATTTTGCTGTGTAAGTCTGGTTTTAGAGGAAAACTTGGATTGTAAACAACTGCAGGAAAAATGTTATAAATAAAAATTTTAGAAGCCTTTAACGGGGATGAAAAGAGCTTTATTTCAGTGGTAATACAGTATTTTTTAGGAATTGGCCACTGCATGCATTTATAGCAACCAGCAGTAACCTTATTCAGAGCAAACTTCTAATAGAGAGGCTTCCTTATTCCACCAGAAGGCTTTTCTTGCCCTCTTTCCTCCCCAGGACACCAGCCTTGGCATCCTTACTTGACAGGCATGGTTTCTGTTCTGCTTTGCAGGAGGCTGTGAGGGCTGCTGAAGATGTCCGATAGTCTGGATATTGAAGAAAAACCTCCAGCCCCACCGTTGAGAATGAACAGCAACAATCGCGATTCTTCGGCACTAAACCACAGTTCAAAACCGCTCCCCATGGCCCCTGAGGAGAAGAACAAGAAAGCCAGGCTTCGCTCCATCTTCCCAGGAGGAGGGGATAAAAGTAAAGTATCAGCAGTGCGAATGAGTGGCTACATCTCTGTTTGCTTTCTGTTGGTTGCTGTCTTTGCTTTCTGTCACTGCTTTCTTTCTGTTTCAGTGGCAGAACATGGTAAAGTCCTTCCAAAGCCTTCTGTTCCAATTATTCTAGTAGCATGTTTCAAAAGAGGAGGAGGTGTTCAGTCAGTTACTTTCTTGTCTTTGAAAAGCCAGTAAAACGTGCACACATTGTGCAATTTGCCTTTTAAAAATAACTTTATAGTTAAGCTGGGGAATCCTTTCCTTTGGATTTTGATTTGCATTTGCAGTAAAAACAGAGATGAGGTTATGTACTTTTGAAAATATATTTGCAGAAGTGAGAATGCAATATGCCTGACACTTTGGGGCTTTTTTTCTTCATGCACTTACATTCCAGGAACAGGAGCCGGGCTCTTCTTGCTTGTTGCTTTTGCAGTGAGAGTGGATGCAGAATGGCTTGGTTTAAAACCTGCTAGATGTCAGTAGCAAGAGAGTCTTTTAGACATACAGGAAACAGCATTTCAGTTGCATTCTTGTAAATGCATTTGCAGAAGGGAGTGTGTTTTGAGTTACTGTATATACAGAATTAAGGGAAGGGATCTTCTTTTTCTACAGTGCCATGGGACCTGATGGGCTGCACCCACAAGTGCTGAGAGAGCTGGCTGATGTCACTGCAAGGCCACTCTATTATCTTTGAAAGATAATGGTGACTGGGGGATGTTCCTGATGACTGTAAAAAAGCAAATGTTACTCCTGTCTTAAGAAGGAGGATCTGGGGAACTACGTGTGGACCAGTCAGCCTCAGCTTGGTCCCTGGGAAGCTAGAGGAGCAAATCCTCTTGGAAACCATTTCCACACAAATGAAGGTTAAGAATGTGATCAGGAATAGTCAGCACAAATCTACAAAGGGGAATTCGTGCTGAACCATACCGACAGCTCTCTACCATAAGATGACAGGCTTCGTGGTGAAGGGAGGTGTTCAACACAGCCTCCCATAGTATCCTTACAGACAAACTGATGAAGTACAGGCTAGATAAGTGGACAGTAAGGTGGACTGAAAACTGGCTGAAATGCTGGACTCAAAATTCGGATGGGTTTTGAGAGGGATTCTGCCTTCGATGTGCCTCGCTGTTCCTCTGAGGAGAGCTCAGAACTGTGGGGCTGTGGTCATTCCTCAGAGCTCCAGCTCACCTTTGTGGCTCGGCTGCCCCGTTCAGCAGTCTCTTTCACAGGTCATGTGGAACAGTTGGAGGTAGTCTGGTGTTCAGAAATCCTCACAGGCAGTAGAAGGCACAATTTCAGCCTCATTCCTCCCCTCAATCAGGGGCTGCCCCGACGGCTTCTCTCATGTGAAGGCTGTTGACTAGATGGGCCCATTGCTCAGGTAGACCTGACCAGTTCACTCTGCAGAGTGCTTCCCAAAATGTCTCCTGGGAATAAAATTAATTGTCAGTTGATTCTTTTTAAGGGCCAAAATTTAAATCTCTCCCAGCTTCTTTAATTCCTGGAAGCACTTGTATCACTTCTTCCCCTGACTGCCAGCAAGATGGTGTTATCCCTCTCTGAGGGAATATTTCTTAAGTAGGAGGTGCTGGGTGAAATGCACGCAGAAATGGGGAGATCCAGAAACAACCCCTCCTGGAAATGATCAGTGACATTAAAAATAGATGTAATTAACTACCAGTCAGATCAGTCTTAGGAAACATGCAAGTGTCATGATTTTAAATGTGACTGTGGGGAAAAGTAAGCTAAGATTTATAGCTTAATTTTGCTGGGTGAAATAATAAATGAGGGAGTTTAGCTTGGCTGGCCAAGCCCCTTGAGGTGGTTTCATCTCAGGATTGGTTTGCAGGTCAGGGTATCAGCTGGCCTGTGCATGCTTCACAGACTCAGCGACACATTGTTGAGAGTCCTTCTTATAAAACAGAAGGTGTTTGATACAGCTGCTCTCATCTAGTGCAGTGCTTTGCAGCATCACACCTTCATATTAATAGTCTACAACTGGTACTAGTAAACAGAAGATGAAGAAACACCATGGGTAGGGTGTTTCTGCCTGAACCTGCAGGAACTTTCTCATCTTTCATTGCTCACCAGACAGGAGGGATGTGGGGATGGATATGCTGCGATGTGTTCTCTCCAAGGCAATGGTGTATGCTGGTACTGCTGTGCTTGGGGACCAGCAATCTTTCACAGTCATCCCCCTGTTGGAGTGTAGGGTTTTCAGTCAGGGTTTGAATGCTTCTGTGTTTAAAACCTTGTTATGGCAAGCCACTGATGGCTCTGTGAGGCCCCTCTGTGCTTTTACAGTTGAAACAAGCCACTTAGGCATTAGTGTCCTGCTCCTTCCCATAGCACCTGACCTCCTTACATTCCTTGGTGTAACAACTCATCCCCATTTCTGGGGTAAAGTACCTCATTTCTTGGGGGCAGGAAGCCAAGGCAGACAACTGAAATGCATTTCCAGTGTCACGTGGGCAATCTGTGTGGAACAAGGAGCTGAACCTGCTCTCCTGTAGCCTGTGCTGAAGCTGTGAAATTGGCCTTGGAGGTAATGGTGGTGATGGGAGCCATGGTGGAGTTCATAGCATTAGTGTTTCCTTTCAGCAGAGTGCTAGCACCTCAGGAGAATTCAGAGCAGAAAGAAATGATTTGCATTTTTCCAGTTGTTTGATACAGCCTTGTTCTTCTTTCATTAAACCACCTGTAGTTGCTGTGCTATGAAACAAATAAATATTGTGTGTGTGATCTCGTGGGTCCATGAAGGCCCTGTATTCAGCGTAAAGAAATGAGAGGGGAGCAGGCCCACCACAGCTCAGATGCCCCTTTCAGCTCAAGAGGTGCATCTGTGTTAAGATTACGGGGTGAATAATATCACTTCCATCTAAGCTGCTTTAGACTTAGCTGCAGATGGGAGCAGAATCTGACCTTTAGTCATCTGATTGCCTTCTATACAGAAAAACAAGAAAAGCAGGAAGGAGGAAAACCTGGCAGGGTTAAGATTAATGGAGCAGAAAGAAAAGGTCAAGGTTGCTGGGGCAGGACAGGAGGAGCAGAGCAGGAAGGAGGATGGGAGGACAAGGTAAGTGACAGTGGAAGGGAGAGGAGGTAAAGGAAAGAACAGAATGAGAAGAAGAGGAGAGGAGCAAACAGGAGGGTGTAAGCATGAGGTCAAACCCTTCCTCCCTCTCTGGAGAAAATCTGTCACTTACCTGAGCCACACTTTTTTCCCAAACAACTGCTATTTTAACATAATGATGGTGATGATGCAGACTCTGGCAGACAGAATACTCTTTTTCCTTGTTCTCTTTTAATCTGTAATAGTTGCTGAGGTGGTATGGGTGGCCCTCATAGCTAGCTGCTGTGCAGCAGGAGTGTACTGTGAGGGGCATTTGCAAGAAAATCCAATAGAAATGTCCAGTATAAAACCCTTGAATCCAGCCAGCCATTGCTTCAAAGAAGTCATGCCTTTTCTTATCATTTTTCTATCTTATGTAAAATAGAAGTGATTTGAGTTGCAGAGCACAGACAGAAGTGTCAAAGTTTTTAGACTGTTAAAGGATAAGGCTGTTAGGAGGAGATGTTTAATTCTGTATTTAATTTATAGTTTATTGGCGTTTGGACCACAGATGTTACAGTCTGATAGGCAGAGGTCCATGAAGCAGATGAGCCAAATCTTGGGTCATGAGCTGGAATGCTTGTCCCCTGGCAGGAGAAGCCTAGAATGGACAAGTGCTGCTTTTGATGGAATGTTTTCTGTAATGCCTTATTTCACTTTGAGATTTGACTGTTGCTTTGAACTGAATTTCATCATCCTTTAAATCTAATTTTCACCGCATTTGCTTGCAAGTGATGAGGTAGGAGAAGTGAGTTTTGTTATCTACAATAGCAAGTTATGTATACTGAATGGAGATGACATCTTGTAACTGGCAACATCTATCCTGAAAATTAAACAACATCATCTTGGAGATAAAAGAAGGGGAAAAGCCTTTGCATTTGTATTTGATATACTGCTGCCATCTTTACTGAATGCTAAATGAAAAATAATTCATCAACTAACATTGTGTTAAGGGTGTGCAGTACAGACAAAAGGTGACAGTTAATTATTTAATGAGGATAAATGTGCAGTGAAAGGATTAGAAACATCCAAAACATTACAGACTACAATTATGAAGAGCAGACCATCTTCCAACTAAAGGAGGCTGTAAGGGAGAATAAGAAAGATGTGGAAAGAGAGGCCTTGTGGAGCTACTATCTGTGAGCAAAGACCAGACCCAGGCTGGGAAGGGGTGCTGATACATAGTGAGTTCAGCCTTTGGATGAGACCTCTAGGTAAACTTGTGATGCTGGCAAACATAATACTAAAACACCAAAGGAAATGTTAACTAACAGTCCATGAGCATAGTAGTGCTTTATGTTAGAAGACTGATGTGCCAGAAAAAGCTCCATCCTGGTTGATATTGGTAGGAGAGGACACTTGCTTTTGAAACAATACACACTAAATTGTCTTCATTGAGCTGTTTTTGTGCATAACATGGCTATCACTGGTGCTGCACTGAGGGGATATGGAAGGCAAAGACAGGACCTGAGCTGCTCTTTTCTCTCCTGCAGATGTGTAACTATGGCATGTGTATTCATTTTAATATTATCATTAATAAATAGTGATACACTGGCCTTCAGAGATCCTGATACAGAGTCCCATTGTGATAGGCACAGTATAAACCTCTCGTATATCTCTGGGTTTCCCACAACTGTTAGTGTGAAGTCCTGTCACATCAGATCTGTAGAGCAAGCCTGTTCAGGGCCATGATGGGGATATGTAAACCAGACACACATTAAACTGGTAAGAAGGGCAGCAGAGGAGAGGTGGGATCCTGGGGTGCAGAGTGCTTTCTTTAAAGACATGAGATGATGTGACCTTTTTGTATTCTACATGAGCGTTTTATGTGTGTCTCATTTTCTGAGTTTGTGTTAATAATTCTTGCATACTGCAGGTGGGCACTGTAATATTTGTTCTGTTCCCATCATTAGCATGTAATTTTTCCACTGAAATGACAAATGTGTATTTGGTAGAATGGCAGTTTCCCGCTCAGCTGTTAGAGATATACCACTGGCACTAGAGTAGATACTACAGATAGCTCTGTACTGTATTACTCAACCACATGGTAGTTATCCTTGGAGCATGCTGGTTCTCCAGGAAAGCCAAATATTTTAGGTCCCTGCTAGCAGGATAGATGTTTGAACATGGGTTTATGCTGTGTTTATCTGGGTGTTTGGGGGTCATCCAGAACTGGCAATGTTGTCACCAGTTTTTCAGAGAAATCTCTGTTGAACATGGATTCTTGATGCATCAGATTGAAGGCAGCTTCTCTCAGCTTTTGTTCCACTCATTCTTTATCAGCATCATTAAAACTGGGCTGAAGTGAGATTTGTCAATAGTAAAAAGCACAGGAGATGGATGACCATAGGGGATGTTACTTTCAAAAGGTGTTAAAATAGGAGGGAAATGAGAAACATATGCAGATTGACTGACTTCCAAGTCTGTCTCCTTCAATAAGATACTCCACACTCTGAATACTGGTGGAGTGATTTAAAAATAAGGAATTCCTGGAGACTAATAAAGCCTGGGGTTTATGGTTATATGTCTTAGTTAATTGAGAACTTAAATGAAGCTTTTCCAAAGGCATTTATGGGATCTTGTTGCTGTGCAGATTCTGTGGTTTCTAATACAAAGCTGCTGCTTCAGCCTTTTACTCAGAGAGGAGGTAGCAATTGGATCTTTGTCTTCTCCTGAGCTGCCTGTTTTCACAGAACTTGTAGGAACCTGGTTATCTTAACAAACCTCCCCTCTCTGATTTGGCTGAGTTGGACAACAGGTTCAAAGCATGTTGGAGAAAAGACAGACATGCAAACAGGTGTGCACATGCATGTCCTGGGTGCTGTGCTTCTGCAGGAACCCACACAACAAAGTCAAATAGGGGTTAGTTGCTGAATATGAAAACCTGATGAAAAAAAAGGACTGATAACAGAAATCATACTGGTTAGAGATGGCTTAAGGCTACTTCATGAACAGCTTGCTTTGGCAGCTGTGACACTGATTGGAAGAAAAACAAACAAAAAAAAGAAGTAACACTTTCTAGACCTTCCCAAACAGAGGTTGACAGGATGGTGGTGTATTAGCTTGGGTCTATTTCTCAAATAAGATGGATGTTAATTGATTTGTTTTCCACTTTTAAAATACTATTTTGAGCACACCTGATTGTGAAAATTTTTGAATGAAAAGCTGTGCAGAAAATAAGTGCGTGTTAACGTTTTGCCTCTAGCCAACAAGAAGAAAGAGAAAGAACGCCCAGAGATCTCTCTTCCTTCAGACTTTGAACATACAATTCATGTGGGATTTGATGCCGTCACTGGAGAATTCACAGTAAGTAACCACTGTATTGCGTGTTTACCAGAGCTTCTAGTTTCTTGATGGTAAAATAACCTCCTGTTGCCAGAAACGTCAGATGACAGCAGCCAGTCTGTGAAGAAAGAGACTTTTATTTGTTGGGCTTAGGATTTGGAGTGTTTTACTTCTGGTTCAGGCTGCTTTTTTTTCATCCAAGGATTGTCAGCAGAGTGTCTGTGGAAAATGAAAACTAGGAAGAACGTAGGTGTATCCTTTTACCAGCCCCACAAGCTGCTACAGGGGTTGGTTATTCAGTGTCTTTGGAAAAGCATAAAGAACCCACGCACATGTGCTTACTGTATGTCTTGCTGTAGACAATCAGCCCCAAAGTGCAAAGTCCAGCTGCTCTGCAGACAGTCCTTGGAGATGCCCAGAAAGTGGCAGCATTGTGGAAGTCCATTCATTTTAATGCAATATCCTTCAAAATATGTCCATAGACTAGGTAATCAAACATGTTTCTAGCCTTTATGTATTAATAAAATAGCAGTCAGCTTTTTCTACTTCTATCATGACAAAATGTATGAAGTGTTGGGAAAAATAAGTCTGATAGAAGCTCCTTGAAGTGTGCAGGGGGCTTCAAAGCATTTTCTTTCAGACTACTAGTCAGGTGCTGAAACAATTAATCCTTAAAGCTAAGATGGCAGTCAGCTTACATTTGGTTAGAGCTGTGGAGGTGAGAGGAAACATCAGCAACTCTCTGTAGCATCAGTAGTACCCTGTGAGCTAAGTGGTCAGACTGTGTTACCACCGTGCGTCAAATTGTAAAGTGTGCTAGTGCTGACTGGCTGCCTGCACCAAACAGGATGGGACAAATCATCTGCCTGGACAAAGAATGGTTAGTTTTCAGAATTCGAGCCCGAAATGTAATTTCTTCTTCATTTTTTGGCCTTGATTGCTGCTTTTGTTTCTCAAAAACATTTCAGAAAGCTGGAAACTTTCTATATGCTGCAGTAGCAGTAGTAATAATAACAATAGAAGAAAAAAAGACACGTTTAATGACAGCATGTCTTCAAAGGAGTAGTGAAATTGAATTATCCTGAGTAATTAGGAAATACAGCTACATTTAAAATTTGTGGACTAGTTAATTAGCCTTTTAAAAATAGATGTCACTTATAAAATCTTACTTCAAAATTTATTCTGTACCAAACCCTAGAGCTTGATTAAATGTTCATTTAAAAAGCCCAGATAGGGTCATTTTTGATCAGAAACGTAACATAAAACTTCTAAAATTGTGTTTTCCCTGCCATCTATCCTGGTTTTCTTCTTTTTTTCCGCTCTGTCTCTCCTTGTAGCCACTCTGTTGTTCAGGTTAATCTTCAGTGCTATTCTCTTTATCTTGGGATCATATTATATATTCTGTTAATTTCCGCTTTTGTTTTCCTCCTTTTGTGTTTGCATCCTTTTCTCCTGTCTATCTTTTCTTTCCTTCCAACCTGCCTTGTTTCACTGCTCTCCCCACTGAATGTTCAGCTGTTCTTATTCTATATTTGTTCTTCCTTTCAGCCTTCTGCCTTTATTTCTACCCTGTGCTTCAGACTATTTTCTTCTGGGTCTGTGCAAACGCGATGGGTCACAGTCGTGTTTTCTCATAGACTGACTGGTGGGGAGGATCCCAGTTAGTTTCATGTCCCTGCCAGCTGGAACAAAAAGGAGGGACGTCGAGGTTAACACACTTCAGTTCTAAGCACAAGCACTCTCTATCAGTACTTCAGAGATCACGGTTTGATCAATTTGAATGTTACTATTACCATCCAGCGTGTCAAAACGGTCTCTAGCATCAGAGATTTTTTATTTTATTACTTTTTTTGGTGTCAGATGCCACCAGCACAGGTCCTGGCCTTTTATAGAACAAAGCAGTTGTACATGGTTAAATATTTCCAGCTTTATTGGTGTAGCACAGTTTTTTTTTTTTAATATCCTTTTCCCTTTCAAAGCAGTGGACGTTAAGTGGCTGCTGTTTCACAATTACACAATATTTCTACGATAACGCTTGTTCCTAAAGCGTGGAAGTGCAGTGCTGCAGTTTGAGAAGGCTCTAACCAATTCAAAACAAACCAAAGGGACAGGTGACTTCCCCCATGCAGCTTGCCAGCACAGGACTTAACGCTGCAGTCCTTAGTGGAATAAAATGTCGAAGCAAGGGGATTTTTGCACCATTAAGAACTAGCTATTGGCTCCCCACTAATCCCAGATGCAATCAGTGTTGCACATAACATTAGGCATGTTTGATTTGTCCCAACCTGGATACAGCCCGTGTATCAGCTGGGTAGTCAAGTGGTAAGTACGTCCTGCTGAAGGGACTGCCACTAGCCATATCGTATAAAAACACTCCCACTGTCTAGTGATCACGCTGTCTGTCTCTTTCAAAAGTTTGGAAGTGCCATGGGAATGTCCAATAAATGAGCAAATATATGGTGTTTTTTTGTTTGGGATTGTTACAGTTGTCATGCCAGTAATTGTCTGCTCTACTGGTTATGTGCGATGCATTGGGCCATCTTCTGACACCCAGCAGTCACCCCCCAGCTGCATTACCTGATTGCTGTTAGTTGCATCTCAAATCAAAGTTGCATGGGCTCCTGAGTTTCAGCTTTCAGGCTTGAGCGCCAAGCTGTGTTGTTGCTCATGAACGTATGTTATATTTCCATTTCACTGTGCTTGGAGCAACCACATTTGCTAAGAAGTAGGGCTTTTAAAGCTCAAAATAAAATCGGTTGGAAACTGTTGGGCGGGAGCATGCTGCTAGAGCTTTATGTTGATTTATTTTGAAGAAGCAGTTGCATTTCCTAAATGGAGGAAGAAGTGTGGTTTGCAGGGCTTTGGGGAGTGCGTTTTGTAAGGCATGCATTTTTTGAAGCAGTTTCCTGATCCCCAGTCTAGAATAAAATGGTCACCCACCAAACTTTTAAAGTTTCAAGATTATGACATTAGCAAGTGGGAGAAAGTTGTGGCTATAGAGCCAAAGAAGTTGCACATTATTAATCTAATCAAGCATTTCTTTAGAATTGTCCTGATTTTCAGTCTGACACGCGTAGATTATTTGCTTTATGACAATACACAGCCTCCCAGCGTGAAATCTGAGTTTGACCAGCTGCTTTCTCCACTGCACTTTGACTCATGCACTGGGCAATTGTGATCTTGCAGCTAGAGAACCATTGGAAAAAACTTGTGTAGAGCCATTCAGAAATACTAACCTGGCTTTCAAAACTAGACAAACAGCAAAAGCCCAGATCTTTCTCTATTATTTTTATTTTTTAACCAAAAAAAAAAATCACAGGTAGTTTTTCCAATCACTTGCCGTTAATCCTCAGTAATGTGTTTTTATGAGGGAGAGAAAAACTGGTTTAAAAAAGAGAAGAGGGGGAATGATGCTTCCAAACTTTGGAACAGTTGTGATTTTTCTGTTTTCCTAAATCTGCCTTCCTGTAGCCTGTCCACCAGCTAATTTATTTGGTATCTACCTCGTAACTCCCATTTTAGACGGGACTTCCCCATTTTGGCCCTCCTACCACCTTCTAAGTTGTCCCACATTCTGTTTTAACTTTCTTTTCTTTCTTTATTTACGTCCATTACAGCCAGATCTCTATGGCTCACAGATGTGCACAGGGAAGCTCCCAGAGGTGCGTCACAGGCCCAAAAGACTCTTGCATCAAAATGCTTCTTTGAGATGTCATAGCACTGCAGCAGCAGGTTGATGTGTGTGCAGTAGATTTGTTGCTTGGCTTATCCCACTTTTTTTCCATTAATCCTAAACTTTGGAGGCCCATGTCACACATTGTTTTGTGGAGAACTTCTTAGGAAGAAGCTATGTTAAAGTGTTTACCTAGATTGGGGTGGCACCAAGGCTAAGTTTAAATGTACTTCAGGTGTAGTTTTTCATTCAATAAGCCCTACAATTCGCTGGTAGATGTTGGCTGTGCAGTAAATGGGGAAAATTACAGGCTTTCAAATTTAGGAAATTATACTGGATATTTAAAGCAATTTTTCATCAATATAATTCAAATGCAGAGCTGCGACTTTCAGCGATTGGATCAATTTTCAAATGCACCCTCACTCATAAGATGTCCGAGAATTCATGCAAGCCTTTGGCACTCTCAGCCTGTCTTCTGAATCCCTGGTTTCTATATATTTACAGTAGAGAATCCACAGAGCTACAGGAGCTCAAAAAAGAGACATCCTTAGCAGCAGTGGTACAACTCAGTGTTAACAATTCTGAGAATTTAAATGCAGATTCTTAACCCTGCAGTGTTCCCTGGTATGCTGAAAATTAGTTGTATCAGGGTGGGGTTTACCTTTTAATCAGACAGCAGTGATCATTTCAGCAAAATGTGTTTGCGTTATTAAGCATTAAAAATCCAGTGTAAAGCTCCTAAAATACACTGTGTTGTCCACAAATATTGACTAGTCTTGTTATGTCTGCACTGAATCACCAGGAAAACAAGCTAAGCCTTAAATCATTATTCCATGGAAGAACAGAGTTGATTTAAAGATGAGTTTCATGCACTTTTTTTCCTATCACAGTCATAACTTTCTTTTCTTTTTAAAGTTGGATCCTGGTTTTAGCTCTATATTTTGATAGAGAAGAGAATGATTGCATCTAAAGTATAAGCTACTAATTTTAATTGTAAGATGTCAATCGAAATTTCTGAAAAAAATCTTACAGGTAGCATGGGATCTTGGTAAAGATCTGTGAGGCTGTGGCTGTTCAATATTCTGAATCCACATTCTTTCCACTTGACATCTCCAGGGCATTCCGGAGCAGTGGGCCAGGCTACTACAGACCTCCAACATAACAAAATTGGAGCAGAAGAAGAACCCACAAGCTGTTCTAGATGTTCTCAAGTTTTATGATTCCAAAGAAACAGTTAACAACCAGAAATATATGAGCTTTACATCAGGAGGTAAGTCAACATCTCACTGCAAAAAAGGGAACGTCTGGCCCCAAAATGAGTCAGACTCATGTTCAACATTCAAATGATCAAGAAATAACCTTAAAGAATTCCACTTTGTGGAATACTCCTGAAATGAGTTATATTTCTTCTTTTGTCCCCTAAACGTCATTGAAACTATGACTTTTCTTTGTCACCTGTTTTTAGAACTACATAAGATACTAGATGGAACAATCATTATAATTTTTAGTCGGAAGCGTTAGTGGCCAAAGGTCATGCTTACTTTTGGTTCTTCACATCCTTGTTCCTTCACAGTGTTCAGATTGGGGTACGGCGTATACTTATTTTGTGAGTTTTATGAGTTAATTTTGGATCCTTTGAGCAATAGTTTATGGACTATGACGATTTTTTGTGATACTTTGTGATAGAGGAGAATTTTCAAGGATTTTTTTTGCATTACCTGCAGAGAAGATTAGGTTGCTATGCATTAATTCACAAACAAAACTAGAACGGCTGCTGTTGTGATGTAAAAGGAATATTACCACAGAGGATGAGAAGGCAGGCGTCAGTGTCCAGAGCAATCTCTATAGCATGGTCATTCCATCCTCATGATTTAGGCATTATGATGCAAAAGCCTGCAAATGTGATGGGGCTGTCATTGTTTCCAAATGACAAAAATGAGAGAACAAGTCTGTGCCACAGTTTGCATTTTTTTTAATTTGGCCCAATTTTTTTTTTTTTTTGCTAGACAAACTCTGTTTGGTGACACTTCTAGCAAGTAAGCAGAGGTTTTCACTAGGTGTGGTGTGTATGGGTGTTGTATCCATGCATTCTTTGGCTATTCCTTAATAACTGAGTTGGTTTTTAAACAAAAATGCCATTAAGATACCATTAGTTTGGTAAAGCTCATGTCAACAGCTTCAGCTAATAAGGGGGTGTCTCTGTCCCACAGGGTGTGGACAGTATTTGTAATTTAACCTGCAGTGGTTCAGTTCCCTACACTACAGCCTGTGGCAGTGGAGTCTGTAAGTTCCTCAGTTTGCTGGTTCAACCAATACAGCTTCCAGAATGCAGACTGGGAGGGCTTCTCAGTAGTTCTAAAAACTGTGCAGTTACCTCCAGAATTTACTAACATTTCTTTTCTTTTGAGGGAAAGCATTATTTTTTTCTAACTTCCAGAACTAAAAAATTTGTCTGTCTAACTTGACATTTAATGTTTGCTAAAATAGCAATTACTTTTGTGATGAAATGCAGAATTAATGATGGTCCTGAACTCAGAAGTTGTTACTGTGTTATGTTGGAATAGAACTGCCATGGCTAAGGGGGATTTTGGGGAAGCTTTTATGGGGAAACATTTTCAGCAAGCTGAAGAGAAACAACGCATGTAATTTAGAAAAAAAAAAAAAAAAAAAAAAAAAAGCTGCTTTAGCACTTGGGTGGAACAGAAGCACTGACTGTTAAAGAACAACAACTTACATTTTCTTGAATGAGTTTATTTTATTTACTGGCAGAGCAGGGCAAAAAATGGGCACATGAAACTGGAAAAAGCATAACCTAGTATATTGTCCTGTTGTCTTGCTTGCTGTGTGAAATAACTGTTGCTACTGGCGAGGTGTTGTGAAAGAAAAATGCTATCTATTTGGATTTACTTGTTCTGTGGGATTCCCCACAACAGGCGGTTTTATAACAGCGTCTGGTTAATTTTCCCTTGTGCATTGCAGATAAAAGTGCCCATGGATACATAGAAGCCCATCCTTCGGTGAGTGTGAAAGTAACCTTTTACTTTCATAGCATTTAAGAATTGTGAAGCAAGTTGTGAGCTTTGCCTTTTGTGATAGTGTCAGCCTTGTGAGCTGGAAGAAAGTACATTTTCGTGTCTTTGCAGCAGCAGAAGAGGGATCACTGGCTGTTTTCTCATTTTCTGTTTAAGAACTTTTAAGTACATGAAAGTCTGGTTTTGCAGACAGAAGATTGCTTGCTGTTCTTAGCCATGGTGGAATATATAATTCGCAACAATATGCATTACTGTCTAATTAGCCCATTTTAATTTAGTTTTAACAACTTAGAATCCATTTCTATTAAATTTTATTATTTATCCTTAGTACAGCTGGATATGTAGCTGAATATGAATAAGGTTATAATTGATATGTAACTCACTGGAACCACCGAAAGAAAGTTTTAAATAATCATCCACTCTAATTAATACTGGATTGCCATAGCAATCCCAGAGATGTAGTCATGACATCCACATTAATATTGACCAGATTTATTAGTGTTAATGTTAGTGCATTAAATAGCAAATGACTGAATGGGGATTTGGCCCTTATTTTCAAGTGTTAAGCAATGTAATTTTAAGTTTGTGATTACACAGCAGAGAGTGTGTATAATGAAATGAAAATCATCTTTGAATGTTCACACTTCAAATTTTCAGTTGATGCCACTTCCATTATCTTTAGTAAAACACACTTTTAAAAGGAAGTTTGGGGTTCACCAGAGCACAGTAAACCTTCCCAATAGCTTTTCCAGTGGGTATGGACACACTGGCAGATGCTGTGGTGTGGTTTTTAGCAGACATAGACAGTGGTAAGACGGTCAAGATAGCAGCTTTCTAAAGTTACCAACTCGGAGGATGCTGGTTGGATGTTATAGTACAGGGGAAGCAACTCTCTGACAGGATCGAGCAGTCATTGGAATTACTTTAATTTCATTTCACTCCTTAATGAGAGTCTGGCATTAAATAATATGACATTGTATATGTTCTAGCTGCACAATTTGGTGCTGTCAGACCAGGCATGGAGCCCAGTAGAAAAAATAGTGATAAGAATTTGACATAACAGAAATGTGATTATTCCCTTCTTTTTTTTTTCCCCCTCTTAATCATCTTCTATCCCCATGTAAGCAAAGTGCTAACGATGTGTAGAAAGCTATACACTGATCTAATGTATGACAAAGTAACATTCACCTTCCCATTAGGGCACCCCTCGTTTGACAGAGTTGGCCCTTAAACTGGTGGTTTGTGTTTGAGGTATCATTCCCTACGTTGGCCAGATTAGTAGCCTGTTTCACCATTTACCTTTAAAAGCTGGGTAACAGAATCGAGTCTCACAGAAAATAGAATACTCTGTGTATATCTCCATGACAGTGTGTTCAAGTACAGGTGACTTAAGGCAGCAATACAGTCATCTATTCGGTAAAACACAGCCGTGAAGATTAGGTCTCCCCATTTCCTGCGGGCCGTGCCTGACTGGCATTTATACTGGACCAAATTGTTGCCATTTTAAAGATAACGCAAGTGAGATGTGAATATGTAGAGCAATGCCTTTTACTTGCTTCAGTGCTCTAAGTGGGGTCTGTTGTAGCCAGTTTTAAAGCAGTTGGTAAACAATTACCAAGGCACCTTTTCAGTTTTTTGTTTCACCAGCGAATTTGTGACAATGTGATAGAATCCCCTGCCTCCGGGTAGCAGCTGGGCCTGGGGGGGGGGGGGGGTTCAGCTCACCTGACTTAAATATCTGTGCTGTAGGCTTCAGTTTACATGTAGGCAACTGATCAGTCAGACTTCCCTTGCCTGCCTCCTATTTGGAGTCTGCCTGAAGGTCAAGCGCACCCTGGCAGTGGCTTTTATTCTCCACCACCTGTAAGAGGAGCCTGGGGGGGCAGTTGGGGGTGCCAGCCTGGGGGAGCAGTTGGGGGTGCCAGCCTGGGGGAGCAGTTGGGGGTGCCAGCCTGGGGGGGCAGTTGGGGGTGCCAGCCTGGGGGAGCAGTTGGGGGTGCCAGCCTGGGGGAGCAGTTGGGGGTGCCAGCCTGGGGGGGCAGTTGGGGTGCCAGCCTAGCAGCCCCGGGCAGGTCAGCGGGATGCATGTCGCTGCTCAGAGCGCTGCATTCACTCTGCATTAGCGTTGTGGTAAGAAACAGGCAAACAGTGGAAAGATCAGCGTGTTAATTTAGGATTAGGTAAAGATGGTGCTGAAAAAGGTGCTACTAAATGTGGGAATGCAGCACTGTGGAAATGGGCAATATGATTTACCCCACAGGTAAAACAGTAAAGAAACAAAGAGCCTTTCTCTCCATTACCAAATTCCCAGCAAGATGGTGAAGGAGGCTTTGCACTTTGAGGTGTGTTAATTAACCTAGCCAGTAGACACCTGTTAGCGTAATTAACTGTTACCATTTCTGTAGAGACAAAGGCAAAGCAATTAACCAGCAACCAGATGTGATTTCTTGTTATATATTCAGGTATTACATTTTGTAAAGTTAGACTTTGACTAAGTATGGGAATGATTTAGTTGAGTTTTTTTGCAAAAATGAAAAACACCAAGACAAATTAACAGAAGGGCACAGTAATTTGTAACCTTTAAATTGCATTGTACCGTGTGTAACTTCGAACTGGGGCCTGTAGCACTGTGGGCATGTCCAGATTGGTTTCTGATGTCTAAGCAGATTAAAGTTGTGTGTAATTATCAAACCTCCCAAGTATCAAAATGGTGACTGTCACGCATGCTATTGTCTGCCCACAGAGCACAAAAACAGCATCAGAACCCCCGCTAGCTCCCTCTGTTTCTGAAGAAGAGGATGAAGATGATGAAGAGGAGGAAGATGACAATGAACCTCCACCTGTTATTGCACCACGGCCTGAACATACAAAATCAGTAAGTCCCACCTTTGGTTAGCACTGTGTTTGGTGTAATTCAGAGCTGCATGTTTCTGATCAGACAGCATTTGTCATTTGTGGATGAAGGCTGAGGGCTGGAGCCCCACCATGATGTAGTGCTTCACCCAAGCAACTGACACCAGGAAAATCTGTTTTGAACTTTCACATTTAGTCCTGAGTTTGCTGTGATTCCTGCGATTCTGATTCCTGTGTTATCTTAATATCAGATTGTGTCTTTTAGTGCTGCTGGTGTAAAAGTGAGCAACTTTGTCCAAAGTATCTGTGTCTGTGTAGGCTTCTCTGTCATGAGATGCAGTTCACACCCTTGCAGGATACAAAAGAGAAACTGTCCCCTGGAGGTACCTGTCCCTCTCCACAGACTATATTAGTAGCTAAATGAACACTTTAGACTGCAGCCTTAACTTTTAAATGCCTGAAGTTTGGTGAGAAGAATCCTACGCAGCTATGCACTGTGAAAAGAAGGTAGGTCTCTGAAGGACTGAACAAGGTTCCTAAAGGTCACCCCCTAAAGCTTGAAATGCTGATGAGAATTCAGTTCAACAGTTATGATCAGAAAAGGGAAACACTCCCTGCTTCTATTCAGACATGTACCAACTAAAGAGTCATTTTGTTACCCAAGAAAACACATCAGCATCAAGGAAAAAGGCTCTGGGGCCTTGGACAGATTTATTTCCGTATCCTTGCAATACAGTAAATTCTTTGTTTCAGTCATCTTTCAGAAAATCTATGAAAATTGAAAATTAAACTGGCCATGAAGTTATGTAAAACTAGCCTTTCATTTTTGCCTATTCAGTTTGAGAAATGGACAGCGAAACCAAACATTTTAAGAGCCCTGCATGTGGCAGACAGCATCTTCCTAAGGGTTTGCATTTGCAATACGATCTCAGGGGCACCTCTCCATGCCACCTTTCTGACACAAAATAATATCTTGTCACAGATCTACACACGCTCTGTAATTGAACCTGCCGCTGCACCAGCACCAGCTAAAGAAGCCACCACTCCCCAACCTGAAAACTCAAACACAAACACTTTGTACAGAAATACAGACCGGCAGCGAAAAAAATCCAAGATGACGGACGAGGAGATCCTAGAGAAACTGAGTATGTATTCTGTATTTCTTGTCTGATAAAGCAGTGTACTGTATGCATGTTTCAGGATTATATGAACCAAATGTTCATTCTCAGTTTAGTGTCACAGAGTCACTTACAACTCCCTACACAAACTGTTACTGTGCTCAGAGGAATCAAGAGAGCGCTCTGGGTATTCATTCAGCCTCTGAGGGAAGCTTTTACTGGGTTGGATTTGCCTGAGCCTCCTCCTGTGCTAAAGGCAAAACCAGAGATTGTTTCTGGGTGAGCAGAAGGCTGTGGCCTGGTGAACTCCTGTGTGATAATGGCCAAATTGAACAGAATATTTGGGTTCCTAAATTCTCTTTAGACTCTTGACTTCTCAGCAGTCATTGGAGCCAAAACACTTTGCAGAAATCTCTTGGGGTTTTGGGGTTTTTTGGGTTTGGGTTTTTTTTTTTGGTTGGTTTTGTTTTGTTTTGTTTTTTTTAAACGGTAGACTACAGCACTAAGGGGATTCCTTCAGCCTCAAGGAGCTCTCCTGCCCCAAATATTCTAGCAGTGTCACTTTTATGATTGTTGTTACTACTACTACTAATATATCAGAGTTCATTTTTTATAAGAATTCTATGTTTTTGTCAGAGGTAACTCCTTTGAAAGAACATCAGTTGATACCATGGATAGAGAGGAAGAGGTGTTTTCAATGTGCCCCAAAAGAAAAAAAAAAAAAACTTTTCTAACAATCCTTGTTTCATTTCTTAGCTTGATGCTTATAAAGATGTATCAGAGACACATCTGTATGGCATGACCGGGTAAAACTGCACTGCAAGCATTTCTCAGGATCCAGCCTCCAGCACATCCACTGTATATTCCTCAGCTATATGGCACTTTGTCACAGCTAATTCCAAGCCAGTTAATACTATTAGAATCCTAACCATTGGCCTCAAACCCCTGTGCAGATCATACTCTAGGAAAACACATCAAGCCCTTTGTGGTTCTGCAGTACAACCAATTTAATCTGCTTCTTGCATATAATAGCTGCCAGTGCTATGTTCTCAGATAATAAATTGTTGGGTTCAGACCATAGCCCAGTTTACACTGTGTCTGCCATTAACTGTTAGGACAAAAAAGGATTGAGCTGCACCTCCATGTGTTTGATCTCAAAGCCAGTAACGTTCTCTTTTTAGTGGGAGCAACTGCTTGTAAAGGGGTGCAGTCTGGCTGTGGCTTCTTCACAGTGGTTGTCCATGCTCGTTCTTGTGCTGTACCAACCTTTTTGTCATGCCTGCCCTGCCACTGATGGCTGGTGTGACTGCAGAGGCCGAAGCCTTCCTTAACTGTGAGATTCCAGCTGCTTCTGTGGAGTTTTCTGCACCCTTAGCAGGTTGACAGGACTATCAAGAACTGAATCTCAGTGCCATCAGGGAGTATTCGGGGGCTAAGTTCAATAGCTTTAGCTGAGGGCACAATGAAATAAATTCCAGAGCAGATAGTTACCTGCAGGTATGTCAGTTTATAAAGGGAGGAATTACAGCTTCTTCAGCTGAGGCTGTTTGAGGCAGGCTTCCAGCATGAGGTCCGCAAGTACCCTGCATACGTGAGCGTAAGTGTGTGTATCGTTTATTCGAGCTTCTGTGTGTGCCAGATGGGGCCTGAGCCCTTGAGTTATTGTGGGTTATGTCTTTGAAATGTTACATGCTTTCATGCTTTTTCTTTCTTAAGAATTTGATACCAAGTGAGCAAGGTCTGAAGGTCTGCCTTGGGCAAATTGTGATGTGGACAATGAAAATCTTTTTGTGCTTCCATGAAGCTATTTGAAAATGAGGGTAATACTTTTTTTGTTATAGTCCTGGGCTAATTATACTTAAGTATATGCGGTGGTTGGTTTTTTCTGTTTTGTATTAACTCATATGACTTCTCCACCTTACCTACTTCCCCCACAATTGATTTTATGCTACTTTTAGAAAGAGGTCCCCCGCCCTCTTTTATCTTAAATTGCTTTTATAATTCTCTTCTGCTTGAAATAGCTTGGGTTTTTTAAGAGCCATTTTCATTACAAGTTTTACTAGGGAGTAAAGACTGTAATATTGAGATAAGATCAAACAAAATTCTGTCTGTAATGAAATCATGAATATGTTCCACTGTAATTATAAAATGGAGAGTGGCCCAATTTTGCTTCCTTATCCACTTAATTTAGGAATTGATAAAGGAAGGTGCTTAAAGACATCAAAAGAGCTGATATGTTTATCTTTTGTCCAGAGTAGGGAGTGCTGTTCTGAACTGGAGCCATGTACCAGTCACTTGGCTGATTTTAATGCTGTCGTGTTTGATGTGCATTGACTTGAGCACAGGAAACCAGCCACAAACAACTACCTTGTGACAACAGCTACTCAAGTTTTGAGGAAAAACTGCACAAGGCTGAACTGCAAAATCACTGGCAAACTTGGGAATTTCTTTTTCAAAATATTTGCTTTGAAGTCTTTTTCTTTAGTCTTTTCTAACTTGAACTTCCATGAACTTCTGATATCCATTCAGATAGATACACAGTTCCATTAACTAGCTGAAAATAGCACCTAGCCTGACACTGACACCAGCATTTTTCCTGATGTCCAGCCCAGTGTTTGATTCAGTACTGCAGAGTCTCGGGGGGGTCCCTGTCCAGGGGTTAAGTTCAGCAGTTGGGGGGGGGAGTTGTGCGCTTTCCTATCTCACATCCCTTCTTCCAGTCAGTTAAAAGGGAGTCCCAGAGTCCTCTGGTCGTATTCTTCTTGACTCGAGAGTTGTTATTTTGTAGTGGAGACCCACTATAGAGAAGCAGAAAGAAGCTTCATCTTGCGTTAGGCGTTTCAGCAGTGGGCCCTGGCTGGCGTTCCTGGGGTGCCGGGTGAGGGAGCGAGTACCGCGGGGCAAAGAAAACCTCTCCTCCTGCAGGTCCCATTAGTGATTTTGCCAAGGCCAGCAAAATTGTTTTAGCGGGGAGGGTACCAGATGGTGCTGATGCCCCATCTTCCTGCTGTGCTGGCAGGCAGGATTCCTGGCTAGGCACCCAGTCAAATGCCCGCTTGGATGCTAAAGCTCCTCTGCTCCACAGAAGTGGCCTGGACAGGGGAGAGAGGTATTTGTTACTAATTACAGCAAATGGCGCATCACCTAGTTCTGTTTTGAATGCACAGGTGAACAAATAAGTATGTGTTTGTATTTGTAATACAGGAATATTGCCAGATCAGTCAAACAAAATGTGCTGCAAAACATTGGAAGTCTTTCCTCCTGAACTAAGCCTCTTAAATTATTTCAGTGATGTACGTTCCAGGTTAAATCTTTAAAAGTCATTTGCATTGAGCCATCACCTTAGGCTTCGTTGTTAGTAATTTATTTAGGAAAGTACCAGACCAGAAAAAAGAATATTTTTTTTTTAATTAATTTGTTCAAGTTTATGAGGTTTTGGCTCTTTCCTTCGACACAAACACAGTATCCTAATTAGTGCTTTCTTTCCTACCTGTTCAGACTGCCTACACCTCTGAGTGGGCAAGATGCCATCAAGAAAGTGCGTGTTGTAATTTTAACTTGCAGTGGCACGTGAGCCACACAGTGGCTGGTGGGCCCGGACTGTCCCATGCCCGGTGCCCGACAGGCCAGCCCTGCCTCCCCGCCGCACAGAGCTGCCGGGAGGCGGCAGCACCCCGGCTGGCCTGGCTTCTGAATCGCATCACCTGCGCTCATGAAATGATCAGCATCTCATTAGTGCAGCTCTCTGTGTAACACTGGCGCCCGAGGAGCGTTGCTGTTCTCGTCACCCGGCACGGCTGTGCTTACGTGTGAAGATCAGCTCGTGTGCAGCGTTGAGAGTGCAAGTCAAATGCTAGTTGCTGCTCCGAGTCAGGTTGTAGACAAGCAGTGTGGTTCTTAATATGGCACCAGCAAGGTCGTCTTCAAAACTTAGCCTGATAGTAAGTGATGAGGATCATAGTTCTTAAAGCCCCATGATGATTGATTATAACATGAGATGCTGTTCTTTAAAAACATAAACGCATTCTTTTGGCAAACTGCTGAAAAGTTCAGAAGATCCCCTTCTGGAAACACTTCGCAGTATTCTTCCTGTTCTGAAAATGGTGCCTGTTCATAAAAATTGATTCCAGGACCCAAGATTCATTTAATCTTCATAAGTATTAAACCTTCTGTTGAATCACAGAGTGTTTATTCCTAAGAAGATAAAGGCTCTGTTGTTCCAGCTCTCATTAATGTTTATAGAAAACAAACACTTGCACTGGTACTTGTTCTTTTCCGATATGTGTCTCCTGTGAGTGTTTCTCCATGTTCTTAGTTTCCTGTCAAGGTAACTCTCCAAAGGACTGTAGAAAATCATCTTCGTGGAGGCCATCTGTGCTACGGAGCTGCCTGTATTGTTGTTGTTACCCAACTGACTACGAACAACTCACAACCCCAGACACTGGGGCTGCATTTCTGATCTGCTGGAAGCTGGTATCTCCATTTTTTAAGCGAGCATCTATAATTTTGTTTCTTTCAGGGAGCATTGTGAGTGTGGGAGATCCCAAGAAGAAATACACTCGATTTGAAAAAATTGGCCAAGGGTAAGTCCAGTCGCAGTTACTTATATGAAAACATAGGCCAGGTAGTTTGCTGGTGTAATATCAAATGTGAAGTCAGGCAAGCTCCAAACATGTTCAGACACTGGGTTTAGATTTGCCTGTCTCTCAGTACAGGTCAGAATTTATAACTGGTCAGAAGGCATCATCAAAGACAACTTAATGCTGGCAATATCTTGTCTGCAGCAAGGAGCAGTGCCTGGAAGATCTGCTGTCCCTCAGATGTGTGGCACCTGTTTGCTTGTTTTCTTAGGAGAAATCATTTTTGTAGGTCTCAAAATAATACGACCACGCTGAAGAAAGGAGAAAAAACTTTATTGCCTAAAAGAGCAACTTACTACCTGATAGTTGTCAGATCAATAACACCTCTCAATAACATTTCTTTCAAATATTTTGCTTAAAAAAAATAATCAGTGATCGGGAGTATAAACACATGATTTAGAAACTGAAACCAGAGATTAAATAAGCTCTCTCTTCTAGCAGAGGTACTAAAAACCAAAAATTCAGTAATAAACACAATGTTGAGGCACAAAGTACTTGATGAGAAGATGCATCATCTCCCTGATGGCAGACCACTCATGGATTCTGCAGGTTTTAGGACTTAAATAAATGAAAATAACCAAGCTATTCCTTTTTGAAACCCGACTTTGCTTACTGTAATAGGATTGATTGGAAATATTTCCTACGTGAGGAGGCAAGAACAAAAGAAATTACACCAAAATCAGGTATCTGACTTGCGTTTTAAATGTGGACAGAATCTCTGCTCATCAGAGTTTCCTTGGCTGTGTTGTAATTCCAGGCAGGCTAGTGCCATTTGTGTAACACAAGGATCACGCTGCTGTCAGTGTGTGACAGAAAGTGTTTACTGACATCAGGAGATATTTTTCTGCCTTAACTGTCAGTGAGGTTTGAACTCAGGGTAGCGTATTGCTGACCTAGAACTGATACATACTGCAGAAAGCCAGACACACTCATGCTCTTTCTCTGGCACGCTTTATCACAGATATGTTTTGTTTGGTAGGGCACTTGTGGGAAGGTGTTTCTGCTCCATTCATTGTATAAAAACCCCTTTCTCAGATTCCAGCTTGCTTTCTACCTGAAGCTTTGGTTCTTATTGTCATTTGTAAAATGTCAGTGGACACTTAGAGCTGTGCCAGTCTCTCAAAAGATAAGTGTCAGCTGAAGAAGTGAGAGTCAGAATAAACATGCGTGTGAAGCAGATTATTGCTGTCACCGTGGAAATATGACCATCACCCTCACAATCTTTTATTTTGACAGTCCTAGGAGTGAGCTTGTACAAAGGTGCTTCAACAACTGGTGGAAAGACAAGTGGCTAATATCTGGCCTAAAAGGGTATCTAAATTGATTTCCTCCAGCTTTTAGTACAGCCCGAAGATTGCATGCCCTTTTTACAGAGGAGTGAGTGTGCTGCCGTAACCAGCTCACGACTAATGCCACAGGTCAATTTACAGTGATGGGGAAAGATCCTAAAGAAAAAAATCGTCACAAAGGTAATCAAACAGGATGATCAGGAGGAACTGTACTGCTGCATGGCTGGGGATAGCGTGTCTGTCTGCAGCAGGGCTGGGCTGAGATGCACTGCCTCGGATGGTGCTGATGTGCTTAGTTGATGCAGGTGCCAGCTCCCGAGCTGCCCACCTTTGCACCAAGTTGGGCATAGTTATGCCAAAGGCACTAGTAGCATGGGAAATAAGTAGTTTTTTAGTAGCTGTTAATAAGAGTGCACTGCAAGGCAGCAAGAGACGTGGCTGCTGAGAGAACTGCAGGTAGAGAGCAATATCTTAGGTGAGGAAAAGCAACTTGACCGGCATATACCACTTCATGGCATCATACAGCTGGTAAGTTCATAAACAGTGTGCTAATTTTACAGCCCCTTTGCAGTGGAGTCAGCAGGTCTGTGCTGAAGAACAGGTCAGCTTCAGTGCTGAGTCTCTGCTTTGTCATCTGTCTCCAGCTGAGGATGGAAAATGCTGCTGACACTGGAGGAAACATAGTTAACTGGTGCTTGATAAAGAGGCTGTGTTTGCTCAAGCAGTGTTAGCTTGTGCTAGGGAGCCACGAGCAGCCTGGGTTCAGGTTGTTGGTTTTCAACTTGTACTGCACCTGCATCACAGTGACACAGATCTAATTGCGGGCCCTGGTACTTCCCCAGCTGCATTAAAACCAAGATATTACAGAAGTGTTTAAAAGTTAGATGCAGATCAGAAATTATAGATGCTTAAAAGTAAAAGTTCATAATGCAGAATCACAGAGCCCTTGCAATTAATTCACAGCTTTATTTAAATTACCCACCTTTATCTAAACTCCTCACAGATGGCCTGGAGCATACCAAAAGCATCCTAATTTAAATAGCTGGTTTTAAATAAACCCTGACAGGACCTTGCTCAGGAGATACAGCACGGTGTTAGCAATTCTGAATAAATGGTGTTGGCTTTTTATGAAAACAAATTGGATTAATCTGAACAATTAGTCACAGGAAAATGCATTTGCATTTATATTAAAAGAATACATAGCGTGCCCAATGAGAACATTGTTCTTAACACAGACATACAGTCTCTGGTGCCTGTTGAATTAAAACGCTTCAGAAATATTTCAGCCTGCAGGTAAACAAACAAGCCAGGGAATCATGCAAAAATGGGCAAACTGGTTTTGGCATTTTCAGTCAGTGGGACGCTTGCTGGATGCATGTTCCCACTTCTCAGAATTCCCATTCCACAGGCTTCTTAAATGATGGCAGTGTAAACCTGCGGTTTAGCTCAGGAGGAAGCCCCATTAGGGTTTACAAGCCCGCAGTTGCTCTTAAACCCAAAGGGATTTCCTCTGATCGTGGCCATTCCGGCCTGTCACATCATTACAGGGGAAGAACCTCTTTTAACGAGAGGCAGATGGCAAACAAAACTCCACACTGTCTAGTCTGCAGGTGAGCACGCCGGGTGTTTCTGGTGCCTCTGCAACACAACCTGTGCCTGTCGCAGAAGCAAAACGTAGACACCATGAAGAGTCCTTCATGTGTCTGGTACACCTAACAGAAGCAGCTGCTGACACACAAAGAAGCTGTTTAAGGATCCTCTGTTTTGAGTAGTTCTCCATTTGTGTGTGAAACAATATATGCCTTAACCTGCTCTAGCTGTGACCTCGCAGGATGGCTGGAGAAAAGTTTCCTTGCATGCTGGAGAAAGCTGTGTCTAGATCCTTTCCTCAGATGGCTGTCACATGTATTCAGGGTTCTCAGAATGACTGCATGGTGTTGCCTGAATTTTGCAGATAGATTCAAATAAGAGGTTTGAGAAGGCACAACTAGACTGTGTGTTACATTACCTGGGGAAAAAAACCAAAAACAAAAAAACCCCACACCAAAACAAACAAAAAAAAAACCAAACAAACAAACAAAAAAACAACACACACATAAAAAAAAGGGGGGAGGGGGAACCCAACAAAACAAAATATGATAAAATAATTAAATATATTATTTTCCAGTTTTTGTAGACACCCCTCCCTTAAGTTTTGAACTAAAATAATTTAATATGTACATTTGAGATTTGCACCGGCCCTTTTTCTTCATGTTGGACATAAGTTTTATCTTGGATGCCCTGTGCGGCAGTGGGCTGGTGGGCTGCTGCGCTGTGCGCCGCTGCCTGAAGGAGCGGGTGAACAAAGGTGTGTTATAAACACTACAGGCAGCAGAGATTTCCTATCTGGGCTTGACTTTCACCCATAGGGACTGAACTGCTTCTAATTTTTTGGCTTCTGTTTTGTTTCTAGGGCGTCGGGAACTGTTTATACAGCAATCGACATTGCCACAGGACAAGAAGTAAGTGTCAACAGTCCCAGCAGATGTTGCAGGTATTCAGTGCTTTCCCCTCTGGTGCGAACTGTGGATGGGGCTTCCGGGACACCGGTAGATCTTTACTGCAAAGGCTCTTCCTCTGAAGCACAGACTAGTGTCAGCCTGCAAAATACATCACCTGCTAAGGCTGTTCCTCCTAAGCGCGGGCTGGTGGCAGCTGGCAAAATCCATCATCTGCTGCCTTCAGCTCTTCCGTGAAGGCTCTGTAAGGGCAATGTGGTTCTGTGCCTCAGTAACTGAACACTTACAGTGGCCATCCACTTTCCTGCAACCATTACACTGAGGTGTTGATTAATGCTTGTAAAAGGTGCCTGCAAATTCCTGGGGGGGAGGTCCTGGTGCCCCCTGGAATCAGTAGGAGCCTTAGTGCTCTCTGGGCTGATGCTTCACCCATAGCTTTTAAGATAAATTGTAAGAGAATTATTTTTTTACTTACTCTGTCTACAGAACAGGTTGGTGCTCTCCACGGTATTGTTGGTCCCAGCCTGGTACCATGTTATACCATCCCTGAATGGGTGTTTTAATTGAGAGAAGTCTGTAAAGCAATCTCAGCAAGCTTTTGGGCCTGATAAAAACTGTATAACTTTTATTGCCAGTGTAAATGTATTGGCTTAGAAATTGTTATATTTCTGTTCCCCAGCGTGCATGAAGCTGTGCTATTACAGAGAATGTTGGTCTAGATATACAATTTAACTCTGTACATTTACAGTATAAAATCTGCCTGTGGACCTGGCCATAGATCGGTTAGCAATACAAATGGGAAAATCTAAAGGTCTGTCATAATGAGAGGCCTCAGGAGAACCCTAGGGGTGATCAGAGATTCCCCCATTGCTGTGAGGAAGAAATAGCTTCATTACATTGCTTAATTTTTGACAGATTTTGTCCTCATTAACTACCAGAAAGAATGTGAGGAGGGAACCAGTATCTTTCAGAGAAGGACACACTAGCTCTGTCTTAATTACTAAATATATTAATGCATCAACTAGCTGATGGAGGCTGCCGTCATTCAGTCCCAATTTATATTAATCACAGGTTCAGATAGTAATACTATTTAGCGTTTTTTCCATCATGTGTTTTGTCTTCAAAATATAATGCAAGACCTAATTGAAGAGAGATCACGTTTAGGATGCAATTTTGTGTTTTAGTCATACTGAAGCTGGTTCACACACACACTGACAAACGAGAAAACATCTGTCAAGAGCAAAGCTGTCTCCTAAACAACACAGTCGTGTTTAGGTACAGTGTCAGTGACAGCCCATTACAGCCCGTGAACTGGTCACGGGGAAGTGGGGGCCAGGGGGGTGAGAAACAAATCTTGGAGGAAAGCAGGGTTAACTCTGACAGGCCCTGTAGTGGCCGATTTAAAGTGGCATCTCAAAGGTCATTCCTTTTCCATGAAATATAGACAAAATATATGTTTCATATTTTTGAATTACACAAATTACTACAAATTATTATTCATAATTTTTGAATATATACAAACCCTGCCTGAAAAATCCGGCTAGAAAACCAGGAATGTGAGCAGAGGTGTGGTCCCTCTCATGCCATGTCAAGAGCAGGACTACACAGAGGGGGAGGCTGGCCAAATTGCGCACGGCGGGAACAAGAAGCAGACTTGAAATAGCCACGGGGCCACACCTCCACGCAGGGTGCGTGTCGGGGGGGGGGTGGACCCCCCTGGGACCCCTGGGAACACGTGTTTGTAGGAGTCCTTGGCCGGAGCTGAGCTGGGCGGCGGGGAGGGAAGTAGAGCTGAGCCCCGAGGGCTGGGGCTGGCGGCAGTGGGCTCGGCAAGGGGGCCAGGATGAAAAGCTCTTGTGGAGCCCGTGGCTGCAGGGGGAAGGTGGGACTTGATAGAGGAGCCAGGATGAGGCAGAGGAGGGATGGCTACAAGGGTTCAGAGCAGAAGAGACAAAGTGGTGCCTTAGAGAATCCCTTTGCTCTTTGAGGCTACAGCATAAGATTACTGATTGATCGTTTCTGGCTGTCAGCAAATACATCTGAATCCTACTGGTAGTTCCTCATCCACCTGCAGCGCTGCACTGTGTGACTGCTCTTAGGTAGAGATCTACAACGGATCTAAAAGCCCTAAGCCCTGCTTATAACCCTGGGTGTATCCATAAAATACCACAGAATGGATCATTCTTTTTTAATAACTGCAAATCTAAACTGTGTTGAAGAAGGTTATTTAGAGTTGCAAAAACAAAATTCAAGAAGTTGGAAAGTGCTGGGATTGTATTTTTTGTGTGTAACTTGAATGGTCTTTTTAGTACGGCATTTTATATGTAATGTCCATATGTGTTTTCTTTCAGTTATGCAATCAAGTCAAGAATAAGAGCAGTTGCTGAAATAATGATCAAAAATCATATAATTGCCAAAGTATTACCAGCTGTTTTTATATATTTTCACAGTAACAAAATCACTTCCTGCTTGCAAAATGTGCATGAATAATAATAGCGGTGATAAACTAAGGCCATTTGAGAAGAATGTAAGTCCAGAGAGTGTTGTTAGAGATTTGTGGTTGATAGTTTAAAGACCATTTTTACAGATCTTACAAGGCAGAACGTATATGTCCATGAGTCCTGTAACTAGCACCCAAGCTAGCAGAGAATAGGGTGTTGTAATGTAAATCACCGAGCTCTTCTGTCTAATTACAAGACGGTTTGGCACAGCTCTGCTATGTCATTCCAAAAACACTTGCTCTGTGTTCATTCTGTTCTCGTGCAACAGACTACTCAAGTTAATGGGTTTCTATGTTATTTTAGGTGGCCATAAAGCAAATGAATCTCCAACAACAGCCCAAAAAGGAACTAATTATTAATGAAATCCTGGTCATGAGGGAAAATAAGAACCCCAATATTGTTAACTATTTAGACAGGTGAGTAGTTCTGGTGTTATCATGTGAATGTTCATTTACATACTGCAAACCAAAGATTAAAAAAACCCTTTGGTCACTGGCAGAAAATTGACCTCTTTATTATTTATCTACTCATATACAACATATTGGAGGAGATTGCATTTTTTCTGCATTAATCTTTTCTGGCATATAGAGTTTGAAAACTTTCCAAAAACCTGGATCAGCCGTATCTTACTAGAACAACAGCCACTTCATTACCTCCATGTTTTTTTTTTTTTTTATTTGATCATATTTTCGGTGTCTTATGATAAGTGCTGGTAAATCATCATAGAAATTATTTCCCTTGGGCTGTTCCTACTATTTTCCATTGCTGTGGATGCCAGGAAGACTACGTTCTTGTTTCCAGAAACACATAATTTGCCAGTTTTTAAATTGTTTTTCCTGTTTCTGAATGTATTTTATGTAAGGTTTTCCAAACTGTTGACCAATTTCTGTCCTCAGTGGTACACACCCTCCTACCATGGACAACTATGAAAGTTCTGTTGCCTTGTTGCTGGAGTTATTCATGGAATTTATGTGTTAAGATGATGAGCCAGACGATGTGATATGTCCTGGTTCAAAATTTATCTTTGCCGTTACTAAACTGCTTTTTTCACTGGCTTGCCATCCAAGACATCTAATTTTTCACTTATGTGCCATTCTCATTTAGATTGCACAGTTCCTAAGAACTGTAGAGACTAGGAGGAATGTCTATTTGTTTTATTCTGTCTTCATTTAAAAATGACCTGGAAACAAAAATCAACTGTAGTCTTTTTTGTAAGGTAATTTAGCTGTGCATATTCATCCCAATGCCATTGTTTTCTTCTTTCAGCTACCTAGTTGGTGATGAACTCTGGGTGGTTATGGAATACTTGGCTGGAGGCTCTTTGACCGATGTTGTTACGGAGACGTGCATGGATGAAGGACAGATAGCAGCTGTCTGTAGGGAGGTAAGGGATCCCACCTGTGCTTCCGATTACTTGGACAGGATGGTATGTCTCAGCAGGTGGTATGAATGTGAGTGATTCCACGTTCAGAGGGTTCTTTCTGTGTTGCTTTTCTAATATAGAGAAGAAAGAGCATCTTGAGTGAACTGCCTGCCACTATCACTGCAACTATACTCTGTTATTATACTCTTCTATACTGTTATTGTACTACTTTTTTTTAGTTCTACTATTCTCAACTTTGCCGCTTTAAACATTTGCCCAGAGTATGTCTGCTCTGCATTCCTTGCCTGTAAAAGCAAATATCCTGGTGGCAGAATTTTAAAATAATAGCAAAGAAAAATAAGATTCATTTATCACAGTGCTCAGCTTAAAAGGGATAGCATTCCACCCAGAACGGTGTTTGCTTCTGAAAAATGACTAACATGCTGTTTCCAAATCTGGTGTAGAGCCTGACAATAAAATCTTTGTCATGCAACCTCCTACCCAAAAGTGATCCACTTCAGACTAAAGGAAGGGACAACTTCTCTTCTGGCAAACAATAGTTTGTAATGTGGATGGAGATAGCACATTCATTGCAGCAGCAGTCATTCTTTCTGTGGATAGTCTATAACAATACTTGACATTTCTCTTTCAAAAGCTAATACGCCTTCATTTAGAAAGTTACTACTCTAATAGGGTTGAAGCAGCAAGCTATTCCTCTTGACAGCACAATATCCTGCCATTGCTCACAATTCATCTAGAAATTAAATCTTTTAGAGCCATTTCCTTTCTTGTGTGATGAAATCAGGTCATTAGTTTTTACCCTCCTGTTTCTTTTTTATCTATCAGTGCCTGCAAGCACTGGATTTTCTTCATTCAAACCAAGTGATTCACAGAGACATCAAAAGCGACAATATTCTTCTCGGAATGGACGGATCTGTCAAATTGAGTAGGTATTCTTGGTCAGGCGCAGCGTTTCCAGGATGTGGTGTGGGGCTGCTTTTGACTGACTGCCAGCTACCCGAAAGTGGTACCTGTGGGAGTGCGCTGACCACTGCTGCGAGCTGAGCACAGCTCCAACGTGCAGAGAGGCATAGAAAAGAAAAAGGTGTAAAGAGAGGCTTTGGTTCGTGTCCGTCCCTCCCAGAGGGAGGGAGTTACAGTCTAAAACTTCAAGTGAATAAAAGCCACTGCATGAATCGTGAGGGGTTTTTTAAGTGGCCAATTCCATATTTCCTTGGCTACAGCACTGAGCAAACAGAGCATTGGCCGCTTTTCCACAAAGATTCCACAAGGTGTTCTCAGTCATATAGTGGGGATTTCTTTTGCTTGGTTTCATAATTCAAGCTGGCTTTAACAATAATTGTTTTCCTCCTCAGCTGATTTTGGCTTCTGTGCTCAGATCACCCCTGAGCAGAGTAAACGGAGCACAATGGTTGGGACTCCTTACTGGATGGCACCAGAAGTGGTGACAAGAAAAGCATACGGCCCCAAAGTGGACATCTGGTCACTTGGGATCATGGCAATAGAAATGGTGGAAGGAGAACCTCCTTACCTTAATGAAAATCCTCTCAGGGTAAGATGCTAATAAAATGAGATACCACTGTCTTTCTAATCTGGCCTACATTTTGTCTTCCATGAGTCAAACTCCCAGTGACTTCAGCTTGTACTGGTTCCACCAAGGCCCACTTCTAAAAATGTCGCTGGAGTGTATCAGCACTTACTGTAGCTTTGGTTTTGTCAGCGGGAGGACCTCAAAAGAGAAGTGACATGTAGCCAGTTACGCAATGTGCCCTTTTCAACGATGCTTGAAATTTCTCACGTGGTTTTTGAACTCTCTTTTATCTCTGAATGACAAGAATTTTTCACCAGGCAGTTTCTTGAATTAGGAAATTTTTATGAAAAACATTTTAACTGTATCTGCAGGCAGAGAAGTCTTTTCAAATTCAGATTGGTGTTGATTGCTTGCCTGAGCCTTTCAGGAAGTGTCACTGGTTACAGAAATGCCATTATTATTTACTATCAAATACATTTCTAAAAATATGTTTTAACACATACTTGTGGTTAACTAATGTATTTTTTGAAGTTTCCAGTTTTATCATAATTCCTTAAAATGAAGTGACCGGTTCTTATACCAAATGAGTGTGTAATAGTGGAGGAATGAATACCAGGATAAAACCTCATGAGATACCTGCACTGTTAATTCCTGATAGGATGCAGGAATTTACGAGAAAATCAATTTTGATGTATGTGTCTAGATACAGAATTTTTGTTAAGGCTAGAATTAAAATATAGCACGACCTGTAGATTTTCTCATAGCAGTAATGCTGCGTCCTGTCTGGTCTGTGGCCCCCAGACTGTGTGCTGCAGAAAGAAGCAGCAGAATGCTCAGGAAATGCCCCCAGCCGTGCTACTTAAAAAAGGAATACAGCAATTTCAAAATACAAATTTCAGTCTCCCACTCTTTTTGGAAGACGGTTCCTGAGTTTTCTTGGAAGACTTCATTTGGTTTGATAGGTATCCTGGGTTTTTGGTTTTTGGTTCCAGTGCACACCTGTGTAGCAGTGTGTGCTGTGCCACCTCCTGAGGGGGGATAAGAAACAAACAGGTCTGGACTCAGACTGATGCTGAATAAGCAGAGTGCACCACAGCTGGCAGGGTGGCAGTAAGGCCTGTGTCACTGCAGCCCAGTTTTACCAGCAGAGACTTTTGTGCATCACCAGTTTTGCTTCAGTTTCCTGCAAAGAGAGAACCCCATATTCCACTTGCTTCCATGGAAGGCCCTTGCAAAAAATGCATTTGCCTTGTGTAAGGCAGCAAAAACAGATGAAGAGAATTATCATTACTGATCTGGATGCTGAAAATTCCCCACTTCCTTAACCTCAGATGTTGATTGGGGCTCCTCAAGAAGCCTCAGGTCAACTGTTAGAAAGGTAACTGGATTTCTTATCTCTGACCAAATTCACATTCGGCTGTTCCTGCCCTTACCCAGATTATTTGAGATGCTCTTTTTCTTCATACGTGCCTCATCTCCTGCTGGAGTTAAGATCAACTTGAACAGTTAGAGCTTCAAGGCATGTTCAGGTGTCTGAGAAAAATTGCAGTAGATTAAAATCAGGCATCTGAAGTTGGTACCATCTGCATTAGCTTCCTGGACTCTTGCAGAGGTGGTTGCCTCTGAGCTAGGAACGGTGAACAGCTTGTGATGGACCGCCTGAAGTTCCCCAGTTATCAGCTACTTTCATTAGGGTAAATCAACCCCAACAGAGACAGAACCCATCCACTGCTGTATGTGGAATCAGACTTCAGTGAGAGGCCTCAGCTGCATCCAAAGAGGAGATCTTAGAAGCAAGACCTGGTTTTGCAGCTACGTTTAACTGATGGCACACAGCAGTTGTTGGGTTTAACAGTCACATTTAGACCACATTCAGGGAATTCTGCAAAACCCAGAAACAAAGAGATGTTCTTTCATTTTTATGAATGATTGTTTTAATAATGGAAGGCATGCAGGAGCTTCAGTTACTGACACTAATTTAAATACATAAATAAATTATAAGGGCATTAAAGGACCACTAATCTTAGAGTTAACAGCAGTCTTAATGTAGATGCATTTGTTGTTTTCCACACGTAGAGCAAGTGCATCCCATGTTGCTCAGGTTCTTTCTAGCCTATGCAGAACTCACAGGAATGAACCATTTTCCAGCCATGAGTGTCCTGGCTATTTCTCTGATGGTATTTGTTTTCTCTCACCGTGATTTCCTTCCATCAGGCGTATGCCTAGGGCCTAAGGGACAAACATTGATGCAATAGATATCCTTTGAAATGCAAGTTGGACCTCCCCAGTTTCGATTTTAAAAACAATAACAAACCAAACCCAAAGCATTTCTGTTTGCTTTTTCATTTATTAACCACAGTGCATCAATTTTCCTCAAAACTGCAGCATATTTTCCAAATGCTGTGGATCTTCTACAGTTTCAGGCTTCTAAATTATCTGTGTATTGTTCTGTCATGTATCTGGGTGGCCTGGATAACTTTAGGATATCGTTTTCACAGACTGCAGCTGTAATTGTATGCCAAATCCTTTCTTGTTTCTTGGTATGTTAAACAAATTAATGAGCTTATTGCCCCTTTGCAGCTACTGCAAACACTCATTTCCTTTGTACTGTACTTGTTTTTCTTTGCCAGCTGTATCATAGGAAACCAAAAGATACATGATAAGAAGGTACTTTAGCTTCCCATAGACCCTTTCTCTGTTGTAGTAGAAATATCTAAAAGGTGCAGTACTTAGCTAAAGATGACTTTTTCCTTGTGATTCACGTTCTGTGAAGAAAAAAGCAACGGAAAGAGCTCCATTTGTCCTGGCACCCCCGTTTCAGGTGAAGGTAGCTGGAATAAAATTTCTAAGGCTGACATTGGTGCTATATTCCTTTACCACAGGAGAAGTAACATCCCTCAGGGAGCACAAACACAGTGAGGACAGGCACTCCAGCTCACCACTGTGTCTGGTGGCTGAGGTCAGCTGCAGATGGACAGGATAACTGATTTTTGTGACATTTATGTTGTGGAAAAAATAAAGAAACTTCATTTTATTGTTTTTACTCTACCATAGTTCATTTGCCTTTTTAGGCTTGGAAATTTTCCTCTGTATTTAAAAGGATAATAACAAAGTCAATTCTGTTTAAAAGCCAGTAGTGCAGATCTGTTATTATCATGGCAGACATTTTTATGGAGGACTCCTAGGCCTATTTCTATTATTATTACTGTATATTTTAGACATATTCTGCAAGTTCAAGTTTGAATAGTTCAAAATGTTTGTCTTATGTTTCTAAATAACATCTTACAAAAGCAGAATGAAGTAATCTCCCTAAGCTTCTCAGCATGCTAGACCTTGGTTACAAGTCAACCACACCGGACACCCTGTGTTTTGCAAAATTACGTTATAAATCCTTGGCCTGAGGAATATCAGGAAGACTTGCTAAGCTGCATGAACACTGTTACCTGCATGGAAGTGAGCGTTATTGCATTTGCTTAAGAAACTTAAGCTCAGCTTAAGCTAGATGCTGTTGAGGAGGTGAAAGGCTGGAATTTTCAAGTGTTTGGACAGGCCTGTATGCACAGATTGACTGTGCATTCAGATGAGCAGCCGGACATTTATGCACCTCCTGAGGAAGGTAATTCACAGAGGACTCAACCCTTAACACAGATGAATACTCCCAATTCTCAGGTAACACGTTGCTTTGGGTTTTAAGTTGTTCCAGTTCTGTCTGTGAAGATGACCCTGCAAACATGAAACAAGTATAATAGATTTAATGTTACCTTTTCTGAAAAAAACCCAAACTTCTCTAAACAGTGTTTGAGAGAGATGAACTACCCTCCAGTTCTTCTCACTGGGAAGCTTGCCTGAAATGTGAAGATTATAGTTTAAAGGTGACGTAGTCTATTCTGCTTCTTGTCCATTTTTGCTGAAATACTTAGTTGAACATATTTCTTTCATAGTCCAAGCCACTTTCTCCATGTCGCCAAGCCTGAGCTTTCAATAACCCAACTGCCAAAACCTCCCATTTCTTCCCTGGCAACTTCTGGGATAGGGACATCACCACTGTATTTACCTGAATTTCAAAATTAGCACAGGCTTACCATAGGGATGAAATGACTAATTTTTCTGGTTATACCATTAAGACTTTTTCATTTTACCACATAAGATAAGCCAATCTGGAATTTGGAGACTGATGAAAGACATAGTTGCAGGTGGCTCCTGTCTGCCCAATTATGCATTTCCTTAACAATGTATTTGTGCATCCAACTTATGTGTCTGTGTTGAAAATGAGGTTCCAACTTTTTTTTTATCTGGTTACCATTTTTATCAAGAACAGAGCAGAAAACTTGACTACCTTTGTTTTGTGGAAGCTGTACTTTAGGGACCAGTGAACACTGCAGAGCTGCATTTTATGTAATACTTTGAAATAATATAGGTAGACTAAATTCACTCTTTAAAATAGCCTGTAAAGCTAGTGTCAATACTTTGAGAAGCAAAGTGTGCTTTTGCTGATGTAGTTCATGCTAACTAGGTCAGCCAATGAAGTCAGCTGTCAACATTTTGATGTTGGAATAGCTGTGGCTGCATCAGGGGTTTTTTTTTGTTGGTATAGAAAATTCATCTCTAACCCTCTGCCAGAGAAGAAACTGTCACTGGAGGCTGGATCATTAAAAAATGGGCTCTATATGAGCAGTTATGGGTATGAAAGAAATAGGAGGAGTCTCATGTTTCCTTTTTCTGTAGGCGCTGTATCTGATAGCTACGAACGGGACACCGGAGCTGCAGAACCCCGAGCGACTGTCCGCTGTGTTTCGCGACTTTCTGAACTGCTGCCTGGAGATGGACGTGGACAGGCGAGGGTCTGCCAAGGAACTTCTGCAGGTAAAATGCGAAGCGGCTGCAAGTGAAACAACTGTACTACGTAACAGTTTTCTCATCAGCTAAACTCGAAGGCATCAGATGGAACCCCCTCATATTAATCTTCAATCTTGGTGCTTTTCAAATGAAAAATAAAGCAGAATCACAGAATGGGTTGGGTTGGAAGGGACCTTTAAAGGTCATTGAGTCCAACTCCCCCGCAATGAGCAGGGACATCTTGAACGGAATCAGGTTGCTCAGAGCCCTGTCCAACCTGATCTTGAACGTTTCCAGGGATGGGGCATCTCTCTGGGCACCCTGTGCCAGTGTTTCACCACCCTTATTGTCAAAAATTTCTTCCTTAGATCTAGTCTGAATCTACCCTCTTTTAGTTTAAAACCATTACTCCCTGTCTCACCGTAACAGGCTCTACTGAAAAGTCTGTCCTCATCTTTCCTGTAGCCTCCTTTAAGTATTGAAAGGCTGCAATAAGGTCTCCCCGGAGCCTTCTTTTCCAGGCTGAACACCCCCAACTCTCTCAGCCTAGCCTCACGGGAGGGGTGTTCCATCCCTCTGATCATTTTTGTGACCCTATTTTGTATTTGGTAGTATATTCAGTTTTACATGGTGGCAAAATAACTGAAGTGGAATGATACCAGGTGCGGAGGCCTGACAACCGCATACAGAGATATGACAAGGGAGGAACCCAATGAAATGAGTCACAGGCAAGTGGTCCGAGATTTGGCTGTGGGGAGCTCACTGAGCATCAGAGGGGCCCCAGCTGGTCCATCCTGCCCCACTCTTAGAGGGTTCTGCCACAGAGCCCCACTTCTAGAGGTTTCTGCCGCCGAAACAGGGACAGCTGAGCGGGACTTGTCACAGCTCCATTTGCTGCCTGGCACAGCTGTGTAGATGAGAATTGCTACAGGTTTACTGCCAGGTTTTGTGGCAGATAGGGAGTTGCTGCACGTGCCACTTGGCTGTCCCTGCTGTGAAGGTGCCAGCCAGCACGGGAGGGGCAGTGGATGGGATGGCGGGCACCGCTCACACTGCAGCCCAGACCTGAGTGCACCAGCACTCTTGTCGCTTGTCTCCCTGCTCTTGTCTTGGTGCTAGAAACCTGTACCTCAGTGGCCTTCAGAACAACACATGGGACTAAATACTACTGGGATAAACATTTCTTAGAGGTATTGGGATTCCCTGAGGAACAGCTTGTGCCCCTCATCTTTTCTGACAAGTAAAATAGCCCATGTCTTTAGAAAACAAGAACCGAAGTAAGTATTTCGAGTTTCCTGAAAGGGACAACAAGCAGCATTCCCAGCATGCTGGAAGGGCAAAAATCCCAGCAAGCTGAAGACACCTTGATAAATGGATTAATAGGATTATGGGTCATGTTTGCCTGTGATAGCAAGGCACTGGGCATGAAGGCGCGAGTGCAGATGGTCCCCTCAGTCCTATTTCTGCATATTCCTGGTAACCAGAGGAATGCTGCTGGAGCCCACGAGTAACTGAGTTTGGAAAGTAATGGTGCATTTCTTTTTCTCCTTTGGGCAGCATCCATTTTTAAAATTAGCCAAGCCTCTCTCCAGCCTGACTCCTCTCATCATTGCAGCAAAGGAAGCGATTAAGAACAGCAGCCGCTAGCGCTTCAGGCCGGCTTTCTCCCATGCCAGCTCAGAGCAGGACTGAGAACAAAAACTCTAGAAAACCTCAACTCTTGTGCTGCAGGACAGATGGATGGATGAACAAACCAACGGTCACAGTCATGGTGGTAGGAGGGAGAACAACCCAGTCCCTCAAGGAGTAAAAAATTATCATTTGTCTTCTTCCTGCTTTCTGGCTTGTTAATTTATTTTTAAGATGAAACAGGGCTTAAGACAGAGAGGTAATGACCGAAAATGCTTTGCTGCCTCAACCATTTCCAAGGTAAAGCAAATTCAGTTGGAAGATTCCCTTCCTTCTCACCCTGTGAATAAGCTGTACATTCACTTTTAAATTGTCAGTTGTTTCTTAAAGATGGAAAGTCTCTTTTATGGGGTTTTTTTTTTGTATGGTTTGGAATTGGAGAAGGGTCTCCTTTATTCATAAACTCCAGACTGCACTGCCTTTTGAATACAGCCCACTCGCTGGTATTTGCCCAGTCATGGTACTTCTAGACGAGGAAGAAATTGAAATTGCGTTTTGAACCAAAAACGAATCAAGAGTGGGGCAGACAAAACATCCTGTTCAGATACAGGCTTTCAACTGTGAATATATAGTGTTTCAGTTCTTGACAATTTGATTTGTATAACTAATTGTAACCTGTTTGCCTGGATGAGAGTCTTACTAAGATGAAAAAGCAGAAAGTTCAGTCAGTGTGCTCAGAAAGGGCTCGTCTGATGCAAAGCTGTAAGAGAAACATGAGGTAAGAGCGGGCCCAGCCTTGCCCGGTGCTGAGCCCCAGCAGACCCCTTGCAGAGTGCAGAGCAGCCTCAGCACCCGCAGAGCCAGGCTGGAAGAAGGAGCTTGCAGCAGACCAGCACTGGGTGCTTTGCCTCTTCCTGGGACCGGACTAATCATCCCGTATCAGAGCCAAACTGGCAGTGGGCTGCCCCCGAGGTGAAATCGTAGCCATGCCGTGAAATGCGCGGACTGGTGGGATTAGTCAGCCTGAGTCCGTGCAGGAGTAGAGAAGGACAAACCAGAGCTGAGTGGTGTTGTCACTTCCAAGGAAGCCTACCCTCCGGGTCGTCTTGTAGCTCCTGGGAAAGGTTAGTAGCGTCTGCGCTGCTCTCGGCAGAGGGGGAGGGAGCCGGGCGGTGCCGCAGGCTCACGTGCAGGTGAGTGTCCTTTAGGCACGCGAGTTCTGCCGTGGAAATGGAGCCCGATGCGAGGGAGTGACAGCTTCCGCAGTTTAAATATGCATGAGCCAGTGCAGCAGACAGCTCTGGGAGAAAGCACATTAAAACCTGGAGTTCTACACCGAGCGAGAGCAAACTTGTGAAATGCAGAGTGGATCGCAGAAATATTTGGAGGCACCAAGCCAGCCTGCTTTCTGCTGTCCTGCATACAGCAAGCACTGCTGAGTGCAGCTCTGAGTGGCTGGGAGGGAGGGAATCCTGGATGTGGCTGAGGATTGCGCTTGACTAGTCAACTCATTTGTAAGGGAGCAGAATAGTTTGAAGTATGCAATTTGTGTTTTATTTATTAATTTCTGAAGGAAAGACGCAATGTGGCTTCACTCAGAAAAAGCATTTGCATGGAGTATTTGTTGCTGTATTTTGGTAGTACAACTAATAAAGACCTTCAAAACAGCAATTGAAGTAACAACCACCCAGTGAGCAAAAGAAAAAGAAAAAAAAAAAAAAAAAAGTAAAACAGATTTCTGCTGTTTCTGCTGTAGATCTTCATGTTTAGGCCTGGTCCTGCAAAGGGCTAAGTAGCCTTTAAGGTACTAACCACCTTCATGATTTGCCAGTAGGAATGAAGGATGCTTGGGCTATTCTTGAATTAGGCCAGTAGCTTGTTTGGCTTTGGCTTCCTATTTAGTCTTTGTGTTGCAACTGTCATTAATGCTGCCAGCTAACCTACCCTCGCTCGGTCTGTCCTGGTGTCTTGGGCCGAGGCACCAGACGGAGGCAATGCTCTATGAGTTACCACAGCTAAGTATGAATTAACCTTTCCTGATATCCTGGGGAGCACAACAGGTCTGATTTTCAGATGCTCAAATAACATGCCAGGGGGAGCTGCCAGGAGCTGGCAGCTCGCACCACGCCTGGGCCGGGAGCAATGGTGGCCGAGCCCGCCCTCCCCACGTATAAAAGGGGAGCCCACGGGGGGCGCGAGCGACCAGGGTGGGCAAACAGGGCACGACGTGTCAGCAAGGGATAGACTACTGGAATTGCACCCCACCTTCCCCAAGACAGGACGCGAAACACGGAGGAGTCCCTGTCTTCTCTCCGCCTGGCTGAACACAGTGGCCTAAGGGACGGGGGGGAATGGTGACAAGTTCCCTCCCAGCACAGCACACACGTCTCCTCCATGGCTGCCCCACCTCCCCGCGTGCCCTTGCATAATCAGTATGAGGCTCTGCAAGTGGAACTGAACAATGACGAAGAACGATGGTTCATCTAGCTTGAAGGTGCCACCGAGGTTAGGTTGGCTTACGCCCCGTGTCAAAACTGCTTCCATAAACTAAAAAAGGTGGGTCGTTATCATAGGAGACTCTTCTGAGGGGAACAGAAGGCCCAGTGCACCAACCGGACCCACTTCTTGGGGAATTCTGCCTCCCAGGGAGCCAGGTTAAAGGTGTGAAGAGAAAGCTGCCTACCCTGCTACAGCCCTCGGATTACTATCCATTATTGATTTTTCACGTAGGCAGCAATGAAGTTGCAGCAGGAAGTCCGAGGGCAATCAAGAGAGACTTCAGGGCCTTGGGATGACTGGTTAAGGAATCAGGAGCACAAGGAGTAGCGTTCTTCTCTGTGCTCTAGTTAGTCGGAATGATGAGGGAAGAAACAGGAAGAGCCAGCAGATCAATATTTGGCTCCAAGCCTGGTGTCACCAGCAGAATTTTGGGGTTTTTGATCATCAGTTGGTTTACACAACACCAGGCCTGCTGGCGAGACAAGGTACCCTGTCGCAAAGGCCGTAAAGGATCTTTGTGCAGGAGTTAGCAGGGCTCATTGAATGAGCTTTAAACTCAATTTGAAGGGGGACAGTGATAAAACCAGGCTCGCAAGAGATAAGCCTGGTGGCAGCAGGCCAGTGTTTGAGGGATGGTGTGCTAGCAAGGCCCTTCAGTCTGCCGTCTCAGTGGAGGTAGGGGGATGGAGAGCCATGCGACAGCAGAGACGCAGGGGTTACTGATGTGTTGGAAACCGCGGAAGTGCCTGACAGTGGTCATGTAGGAATTAGGGCTTCTCCCCCAAAGAAGGTGGTGGGATGAATAGCCCCACTGAAGTGCACCTATACCAATGCAGGCGGCGTGGGCAACAAACAGGAGGAGCTGGAAGCCACTGTGCAGCAGGAAAACTGACATAGTTGCCATCATGGAAACATGATGGGAAGACTGGCACAGCTGGAGTGCTGCAGTGGGTCACTATAAACTGTTCAGGAGGGACAGGCAGGGAGGGAGAGGTGGTGGGGTAGCCCTGTGTGTTAGGGACAGTTTTTCTTGTCTAGAGCTTAATGATGGTGATGATAGGGTTGTGTGTTTATGGGTAAGAATCAGGGAAAGGCCAACAAGGCAGATATGGTGGGAGTCTGTTAGAAACCACCCAACCAGGGTGAAGAGGCAGATGAAATATTCTATAAGCAGCTGAGAGAAGTCTCACAATCGCTAGCCCTTGTTCTTGTGGGAGACTTCAACCTACCAGATACCTGCTGGAAATACAAGGCAGCAGAGAGGAAACAGTCCAGGAGGTTCCTGGAGTGTGTGGAAGATGGCTCCCTCACCAGCTGTGTCAGGAAGTTAACTAGGGGAGGTGCCCCACAGGACTTGTTTGCAAACTAAAAAGGACTTGTGGGCGATGTGAGGGTTGGAGGATGTATTGGGCACAGTGATCACAAAATGGGGGAGTTTTCGATTCTCAGAGTACTAAGGAGGGGGGCCAGCAGATCTGCCACCTTGGACTTCTGGAGGGCTGCCTTTGGCCTGTTTAGGAGCCTGGTTGCTGGAGTCCCTTGGGAGGCAGTGCTGAATGGCAGGGGAGTCCAGGAAGGCTGGGCATTCTTCACAAAGGAAATCTTAAAGATGCAGAAGCAGATCATCCCCATGTGCCACAAGATGAGCTGGCAGGGAAGACCTGCCTGCCTGAAGAGAGAGCTTTGGCTGGAACTCAGGAAAAAAAAAGAGTTTATCACCTTTGAGGGACAGGCAACTCAGGAGGACTACAAGGATGTTGTGAGGTTATGCAGGGAGAAAATTAAAAGGGCCAAAGCCCAACTAGAACTTAATCTGGGTAATCGTTTCTTTTGTGAGGTCCCATTTTCCTCTGTCAGCTCAACCTATCTGGGGGAGAGACTTTCTTGAGAAAGTAATTTGGGCTCAAGATGGGCTGCCCTCAATTTGTAAAGCATTCATCTGAATGAAACGTTTGTATTCCGTGTAAAAAGTGAAGAAACAAGTGACAATTTCTGTTTCCAGTATAGCTTTTGTTTTTTCCTACCCACAGAGGAACAGACAGCCGTCCTTTAAAAGGAAAGCACTTTTTTATGGTATGTCTTTGCTGGACATACAATATAAACACTTATGTTGACAGACTACACAATCTGATTGGGTTTTTTCCTATTTATTTTCTTTACCTATAAGTATTTCAGCATCTCTACTTTAAAAAAAAAAAGGCACCACCACAACTTGCTGGATGATAACAGATATGAAAAATAGGAAAATCAAATGGTAGCATCATTTTTTTTTTTTTTTAAATCCGCGTGTGCCCCAGCATACAGAATATAGTTGGCACTGGCTTTTTAAAGACAACTGCTGTAATAAGAGGCCTTACTTTTTATTTTATTAAATACTATATTTATTTTTCTTTGCATCAGCAAATCTAGAGACCTTTCTTCTAAAAAAAGTTACTGGGAGGCAGACAGGATTCAACAGAAATAATCTGTGCCAGTGGCTGTTTTCAGTATGGACTGTAATTGCCTAGCAGAGACTGTCTGACGTGCAGGGGAACACACCTCTGGCATCCCTGCGGCTGTGTGCTTGAGAGTCTCTGGCACTAAATTCTCAGTCGCTAGTTACTGAAAGATGGCAGCTGCTTTTATATCCTCCTGACTCTGATAGGAAATGCGGAAGAAGCATATTAATATATTAAAACCAAAACCAAGCCAGTCCTGGGAGGGGCAAGTCTTGTACATTATTTACAGGCTCACATTGTATGTTAGGATTGACAATAGCATTGACCTTGCAGAAAAGAAAGAGGCGAATACCATAAAATCTCTGGAACCATCTTGGGTTTTCTGACTGCTATCCTCAGATTAAGCAATTAGTTACATATCTTTTTGGAAGCATTAGAAATAGGCTGTTTCTGTTGTGAACTGCATAGGTAAAGAGTTTTCAAACACTTTCATTCTAAGATTTTAAAAGATTGGTTAATTATCTTCATGTTTAAATTCATTAAATGGTAAAACCCCCCTAGCCAGAGCCTATGATTCCCATCTCTGAAAATAGGATGTGTGAAAATGACCCAATAGCACATTGTGATTTTAATGCGTTTTGGGACAGAAGCATGACAGCAGGAAAGTCAGGGAAGTTTGAGAAGCACAGAAAAGTTTATTTATTTAAGAAAAAAGAAAAAAGGAAAAAAAATAACTATACCTATGTAAAATGCCATACAGCTCCTGCATGCACTCTTGGGAGCCTGCACGGGGGTGGATCTTACAGTGCTCTCAGGGTTTGATCACAAACTCGGGCCGGGGTTGCATTCTCACTTCTTGTGTCATTGCTTTTGTAAGTATGTGTGTGTGTATTCTCCATCTCTGGCTACTGGTCGGTTGACTCATGCTACACACAAATGAACTCCAGTATTTTTTTTAGATGTTTGTGCTGAGTTTCTTTGAGGCCAATGGCTGCACGTCGGCAGGTCTTCCAGTCAGTCTGTCCCCATGACCTGCCACCAAAAATGAAGCACATTCCAGTCACCACAAGAAGGGAAGTAAGTACCTGTCTCCTGTCCTCTAGTTGTAGGAAATGCCACCACACCCTATTGTCTGTATGGCAGTTATTTCCAGTATATAGTCATTGGTGTGGCCACTGAATATTCCTCACACCGAGCATGTAAATACATGTATTTCTTAGTCTAGTCCTGCACAAATCCAGTGAGCAAAGAGACAGGGAGATATCTGTCACACCCACCATTAAAGACAGGATCTGGTGTTCCTTTGCTTGACATCCATGGCGTGCACACTAATGCTGGCTTCATCTTGCTAAACATTACCAAGTTAGTGGTCCACGCACCTTCCTGGTGGTCTGTTGTTCATTCATGTGCAGATGTGGCAACTTAATGATGGATGATGGCACAAGCTGATGAAGACCCGTAAATATAAGTGTTCAGCTTTTTTTTTTTTTTTTTTTTTTTCTCCCCTGACCAGATAACTATCTTTAATTTTAGCCCCCAGTTTTCAGGAAGCAAAGGACAACCTTTGTGTTTCAACAGAAACCATCCAAGGTTTCTTTGAGTGTGATCTGCAATTCGGGGATCTTTAAAACTTCTCTTTGCTTGTGTCTTGTCCTTGAGCTGATAGGGTAATTTCTGTTTCTGGCTGAAGCTTGCAGAATCTTGCTTATACATCCATCCTCTCTTTGGATGCCATTTAGAGCCGATTGCTGTAATCTTAGGCATGCATCACGCGTATAAACCATCACTGGCATGAACCTACCACTGGTTGCATGCACCTTTGGTGACAAGAGCCATCTCAAAAGAAAAATTGATATTCTAGGAAAGAGAAGGAGGGATGCTTCTTACATGCTCTTCACGGGTGCCCTCTGAACAGCCGTGTGGGAATGAGCCTGCAAACTTTATTCTCACTGCTCAGCAATTCTCCCAAGCAAGCACTTGCATTCTGCTAGATTTGACCCTGACTGAGGAAACTCGGTGCAATATCATTAGTTAAAGTTGATAATATGGAAAATTGCTAATTGTTTTAATAATCTGTGAGCACAGTGGCTTTGCAGTGGACGGTTTCCCAGCAGACTACACATCAGCTTCAGCATCTGTGTGTCAGGTGCCTCCTGCTCTAAGTGAGTGGCACCATGTTCACAGCTGCTTAGGGATCATGCTCTGTTTCTGCAGGGCCTCCCAGCAAGCAATGTCTGCCTTGCCCAGCTTCCATACAAAGCTGAAAGGCCTGCGGTTGGGTGCACTGGCCTGAGTTGGCAGTTGTGAATGGAAGGCAGGAGAGCCGTTGGGCACATGTGCACACCCCTTTGAATCACAACGCGCTGATGTTACAGGTTTATGCATGCCGGCCACCGTAGCAGAGTCTGACCCTCAGATCCTGCTGATTAATGTAAGGTCTGAGTGAAGGTTTCAGATTCCTCTGTTATTAGTCCTCGGGTAACAGTTCAAGCTGGGTGCCTCCAGAAAGGGACCCCTACCCCAGTTCACGCCTCGCAATTATACCCTTGCCACCCATCACCCAATCCCCAAGTCCAATCATTTAATTCTGGTCAGGGGTCTCGATTTCTTACTGGTTTTCACTGTCGCTGGGCTGGCTGCTGTCTGTAGTTACTTCATTCTCTTGGGATTGTTTCCTTGGTCCTTATCTTCTTCGTTCTGCTTGTATCTGGTGGAAAAGGACCTGGGGGTGTTGGTCAACAACTGGCTGAATATGAGCAGTGTGCCAAGGTGGACAATAGAATCCTGGCTTGTGTCAGCAAGTGTGGCCAGAAGGCCTAGGGCAGTGATTGTTCCCCTGTACTCAGCACTGGTGAGGCCACAGCTCCAGTACAGGGATGAGTTTTGGGCCCCTCACTATGAGAAAGACATTGAGGTGCTGGAGCGTGGCCAGAGAAGGGCAACGAAGCTGGTGAAGGGTCTAGAGCACAAGTCTTATGTGGAGCGGCTGAGGGAACTGGGGTTGTTTAGCCTGGAGAAAAGGAGGCGGAGGGGAGACCTCGTCGCTCTCTACTACTGCCTGAAAGGAGGCTGGAGTGAGGTGCAGGCTGGTGTCTTCTCCGAGCGATAGGACAAGAGGAAACGGCCTCAAGTTGCACCAGGGGAGGTTTAGATTGAATGTTAGGGAAAATTTCTTCACCAAAAGGGTGCCCAGGGAAGTGGTTGAGTTGACCATCCCTGGAGGTATTTAAAAGACAAGTAGATCTGGCAGTTAGGGACATGGTTTAGTGGGACTTGGCAGTGTTAAGTTAATGGACTCAATGATCTTAAAGGTCTTTTCCAACCTAAATGATGCTATGATTCTATCTGCTGGATTCAGCTAGTTCTGCATTAGCAGCATTAGTTTTATCAGAAAGTTTACTTATGGTCAGCTCTTGCAGCCTAAGGATTTCAGCTACTTTAGCTGCTAATGCTAAACAAGACTATTCAGAGAGAAAAATACAGTTAATTAGATTTCTTCTATAACACTGAGGGAGGAAGTGTATGAACTGAGACCATGAGTACTGTGTGTCACCTCCTCTCTGTCCTTCAGTCCTTGCAGGGGCTAGAAACAGAGAAGAGTTTTTTTCCTAAAGAGAGAAATTAAGCAACTTGTTAGCTCTCACAGGCCTTGCTCTTTCCAGTCTCTATGCTTGACTGATTTGATCCCTCTTTCTGTGGCCTCTGTTCCTCCAGTGCTTGCTGGCTGCTAACCAAGATTATGTAACTGGCTCAGATAAAGTGCTTGAGATCCTCATCTCTCTGCCTTTTGACCTGCCTGTTCACAGCAGCCTTTTGACTCTGTAAGCTTGGGCTGGAGCGGGAGTTACCACCTCCATTTTGTGCATAACCTCCAAGAGCCCAGGGCCTGTCACCTGAAGTCCGTGCTCGCACTGAGGGCTCCCAGATGCCCCAGGCTGGTGTGACACCCTAGCAAACATGAGGGAATAGTGGCAGGTTGTTGATTTTAAAGGCAGGTCCTTTTGCTGCTGCATGCTGTGTGTGTCAGTTGTCCAGCCCAGCCATACACTTAGGGATCAGATACAGGGACTGCTGTTACTCCCACTGAAGTCAGTGAGAAATTTGGTTGTTGTTTTTGGTGACAGCACAACCAGTTGCTGAATAAGTGGGTGCTGATAATGCCAGGGCTACGGGGGCTGGAGGGTGGAAGGGAGCTGCCAGTTGTTCTTACTCTCCATCATGTAAAGCTGTCCAGGTCAGAAGTGGGTCAGCGTAGCAACCATGAAGCATGCAAGTCTCTTACATCCATGTCTGCTGAGATTGTTGACCTTTGGGTGACAAAGGCAATTGCTTTTTGTCACACTGTTCATGTTAGTGTTAAGCAATGCTGCTATATCAGTCTGTAGCACAGCAACAGGGAAAAAAAGCCTCTCAGCTCTTCAGGTGCAACTCATAAGCTGCTGGTATCTGCCTTAGCAGGTCTGCAAGTGGAAGGGGAGCTGCTCTAGGCAGGAACTAGTAGCAAAGGCCTGCACACAGCCTAGCCCCTGGTGAGGGAAACATCTTGGGCAGAGCCCAGATTCAGTGGGGGAACAACTGGGAGTTTTTCTTGTGGTGTGTCTGCACTGCACATGCTGCACGCACAGACATGTGGTTCGGGAAGATCTGCACACGAATTCTGCAACTCTTGACTGGATCAGGATGTAGCCAATGCTGAACTCCAGTTTGGGCTGAAGTAACCAGTTTACACCTATGCTGGTGTCTGCTAGATTTTTTTTTCTTCAGGGTATCCAGACAAAAGTAAACAGAGGAGCCTACATTTTCATTGTTTATCAGAAATGTATCTCATTTTGCTGTACATTCCTTTTTTAGGACGTGTTATCTGTTTAAAAAAAGAAAAAATAGAAAAAAAGAAAAAGATAAAAGATAAAAAACAAATGTGTAGTGAAAAATCTTCTGTAACTTTGGATTAAGAGGTAACTGATCTTTTTAAAAAGAGAACTAAGTTATTTACTTTGTAAATGTGCTGATGGCATGGATCCATCTTACTGACCTCAGCATCCTTTTTTTTTTTAAGATTTTGGGTTTTGTTTTCAATATTAAGTTATTTTAAATTGTGGTTGAAGCAATAGAAAATTGAAATATGGATTGTGCATGACTGTGTCTTGAGTGTAAAAATATTGCAGTTTGAAACTTGGACCTAAAGTATTGCAAATAAAAGTTATAAATACCAATGGATTGTGTCACTGTAGCTTTTCCTGTAGGATTTGCTGGTGCTTTTTGACAAAACAGTGTTGGGCTGGCTGAAGACACACCAGCCTCGATCATCCGCAGAGTTGCAAAGACTTCATCTGTATGGCTGTGTGTGCTGGTCACTTTGTCCTGTGCCACTTGCATATGATGCCATGAGACAGGACTTAACCTGTGCCATGTGTCCACAAAAGCTGCCTGCTTTTCGGCTGCTCCCCCGTCCACAGAAATCTACCATGCGCCATGACTTTTCCAGTGTTGTGCCTCCACTGTTCCATAAGGAACCGACACCCCCTCCTGATGAGTATGGCAAGTTGCACAGATGGTGATTAGCCACACTTCCTGCCTAGAAATCTTTCAAACTGCTTATGAAACACCAGTCACTGCAGCTCTTGTACTGCTGCTCACACAAAGCTGTGAAAAATTCCCCTGGCCACCTGCTCCGAAGGTCGGTGCCGCTGGCGTTGGAGGTACATAGTCAGCCCAGGCTCAACCCCATCACTACCTGCTGTGCTGTCTGCACAGTCATGGCCTTTGCCAGCAGCTGCTCCATCCCCGAGGGTTTCAGTGGTGGTTGCTGACAGCAGGGGAACGTGGGGCAGTGGGTGCTGCAGCCTCCTGTGTAGGTGACTGTGTGCCCCGCCAGCTCCAGCCCACCTTGGCCTGGTCTCGCTTGCCAGCAGCGCAGGGCCCACGGGCTAGTAAAGGGCTGCTCCTTGGCCACTGGAAAGGGCCAGGGGTGGCCCATGCAAGAAAGCTCCTGACAGGACTACAGAGCCCACAGCAGCCTTACAGCCGCTGTCAACCTGTACAGTATCTGTACTTCCCCTCTGACAGGCACCTAATTAGCAACTTATATACATGTGTTCTTAAATATGTGCGTGCGCACACACACACACACACACACACAAGACCCTTATCTATGTAACAGCAGCTCTCTATATGTATATGTACACAGCAAAACAGTAACAAACCCTCATTATCTATATGTACTATAGTGTACAATGTATGTATTTCATAACTGCATAAAAATATGTATACGCATTTAAAATTACATTTATTATAAATGGCAAGAGAGTGATGTAATTATGTACTGGTATCTACTGTGCATGTGTATAAAATAGATCTAATACCAATGAAATAGCTGGTGAGAAAGCATGTTATATGGCTCTAAAAGGGTGTCACAGAGAGACCCTTATGTAACTAACATGCTAGCTAGCCCTTTACATAGACAATACATACATTTAGTAAATGTCTGTCTATATATTTACAAAATTCACCTTATATGACTGTATAACTCTAGCCCTATACGTCTGTGT